CGGCCTTCACGTCACACTTTGTTACAGAACGCGTTCGTCCTGATTGACTTTAATTCCTGTCCGTCGTCTTAATCAGGGAGGGGCTTGTTGGAGCACAGCGGGGTTCACAACAGGCCACCTGGGCCAGAAAAGCCCAGCAAGCTTGCAGCTTTGCCCGAGGATTATACATGGAAGAGGAAGGGCTGTTGGTCAAAGGAGGAGACGGATTATCCTCCTCCTCTTCCTCTTTCTCTTCTTGCTCCACCTGTCAGTCGTTTTCTCCACGAGTCTTCCTGCTGAGGAAATCTTCTCCAGAGTAAAACAAATTACCCTCCCCCACTTGGTTAAGCACAATTGAGTCATTTCTCTTAATTAACTTTTCTTCGCCGATACAGATTCACACCTTAATGTCACCCGGTGGGGTGTCTTTGACATGAGAGAAACAGTTGTTCAGGTCGATATTATTCGGATCATTTAACCGTGTGAGCAGTTGAATTGGATGTTGGATAAAGAGAAGAACCCATCCGAACAGCTTCTGGAAGCCAGTCTTTCTCTGTGCACGTGAGCGTGTGTGTGTGTGTGTGAACTGATTAGATATTGATGGGACTTCTCTAACCGGAAGCCATGTCCCTCATGCTTTGGCCACACTTGCTCCACGTGTTTCTTGCTGTGGAGCTAATGAGATCTCTGCCACTGATGCTAGTCCGTGTTTTGCTACTGGGCTAATTTCAGACCCTTAAGCTGCTGATACTCTGAGGAAGCAAATTAAATAACCGAGCTGCAAGCATGTTCGGAGATCCCACTGGGTAGAGTGTTGTGAACGCAAGGCTTGAGGCAGGATTGCCTCTCAGAGGTTTGCCGAGGCTACTCAGAGTAGCCTTCTCAGTACCAGTCGTCCTCAAGCTCAGAGAAACTATGGAGAATCTGCTTTGGGTGTACAAATTACGACTGAGTGGCGTTCTCAGAAAAGCGTTGACAAAGCGTTGACCGCATTATGAAATTTGTGAAACCCTAAAAGTGGCTGCAACACACGCCCACAGGATGATGGAGCCGCTACTGTGCCCAGGAGCAGGAGAAGCTTTTTATTTATTTTTCCTTGTTAATTTCCTCTTTTAAAAATTTATTTTCACTTTTTATCAGGCCACCACTTTTCTTTTACTTTCAAATAGGCGCAAGTTGTGATTGATTGTCTTCTGTGAAGCACTGATTTAATTATTCATTAATTCATTTAATAGAGAAAGGTGCTTTGATATAGAATAACAATGAGTCAATTAGGCCATCACACCATTTGCTACTACGGCTTGTTTCCGATGTCCATCCGTAGAAGTGCTTTGGAAATAAACATCAGAATGACTTGTGTGGGTGTATCTGAACAGAGGAACACTTCTGTGGCTACTCCAGATGAATCTATTGCTGTTAAGCATCCTTTCTGCCGGCCCTGGGAGCTGCTTTCGCGGTCTTCAGCGCATAAACCAGACCTCACTCATCCTGTTAACGGCTGTTCCCCAACACCATGAGGAACTTAGGAAATGACCACTGATCATATACTGAAAACGGCCTCCTGCGTTGTTCGGCAGAGTGCTTTGCTCTTAGAGGAGCTTGTGGTCGCTGATCGTTGGGAGGAGGTTTGAAGAGTGCGAGTTTATAACAGGCTTTGAGATTTGTAAGATGAGCCGTAGAGAAGATGAACCCATTTTTAAAATAAAGGATTAGAGTCTTCAAACGTGTTTTGGTTCAGTGACCACTGCAGAGTTTTTTCCCACCTTTTTTTCTATCTCAGAATGGGACTTCTTTGTATTTTCAGAGGCAAAATGCTTCTAAAGATCCATATCTAATCTATCAGCTGTGACTTTTTAGCCCCCAGAGAGGCCCGTCTCCTGACCAAAATGCGTGCGGGGGAAAAAAAACGGCCGGCAGCTCATTTCCAGCCCCGTTGTGCGGGATCATAAACTGGCCCTGTCCTCTGAGAAAGCTGTGGAAATCGGAACCACGGTCCACCACAGCCGGGAGGATGCCCGGTAATGCCGGCCTTTTATGTTGTAGCTTTGAGGGCTGGGAGTTGGTAGTTACTCAGACTCTGTCCACACCGGGGCCCGCAGAGCACTGGAGGCAAACACGCCTCGTCTTCTGGTGGAAAAGGGCCTAAGAGAGAGGTTTGACTGCGCGTGCTGACATATCAAAGACCTGTTCAAACAGTTGTACCGTTGTGTCAAAGCAGCAGTGCTTAAAATGTGGACCTGCGATGCCTAGTGATTTGTTTTCCTTTACCGAAAAATGAAACTGAATGTAATCCTTTGATTTGGTGTGTTTGTCGATAAAGACAATTCATCTCTAAAAGGTGCAGTGCTTCAAGATAATTGAAGAGACCACATCTAAGAAATAAAATAACACCCATTTGTGTCTGTTCAATGTTTTTTTTTTTTGTCATGGATTGCAAATTTCAGACGCTCTGACTGGGCTTTGTCATGAATAAACAGTCCGAGCTTTTCTCTAACAAAGCTCTACTCCCGCATGATGTGTTCAAGTGACTGCCCTTGCCTCTGCGCATTGATCCTAGTCTGCAGCGCAGCTTGCTATGTGGCCCTGAAAACAGCCTGAATGCTGTGAAAATGGCAGCTAGGCAACCGGAGAGGTGGAAGTCTCTCTGCAGACGGCTGTGTCCAGCCGGCCGCTGCAGCCTCGCAGCTGCCCAGCAGAGAGAAACGGACCCTTTTGCATAGTTATTAACCCGATGTCCATCGGTGTCCGCGGCCCCGGTGCTGCGGCGGATGCCTGCAGAGTCATGGCGTTCCATTCCCCGTACTCAGAAGTGAAGTGTACAGCACTGTGTCGGAGCACAGGAGGAAGTAATCATCCTCTCTGTGATAATTCAACGTCTCTCCGACTGGCTTGTTTTCTGGCTTCAGACGACATTATCTGGGGCTTCGGGGGAATATTTGGCAGGGACCTGTATTTTTAGGAGTTTATGGGCAGCATTAGGTCTTATCAGCCTGTGAACCGGCCATTATGCCCCGTTTGATCAACTGTACGCATTCCAGAAGAGAGGCCCGGGGTCCCTCTGTGTGCATAATGATGATGGCTCTGGGCTCCTGTTGGGGCTGCGAGAGCCGCCGTGGTTATCCATCAGTGGAGTTGATTTAACTGAGCTGCTCCTGATCGGCGGTGTTTACGGCCAGGAGCCTGTATTACTAAGAAGATTTGTGGCTTAGGGAGGTGATTTCAGTTTTAACTGTGGCCCATTCGGCATCACAAAAGTGGCTTTAGATGAAAGATCAAAACAAGGACGCCACGGTGACCCGTCGCTTAGGAAAACAAACACAGCGACAACTACTGTGCGTAAAGAATGATGGAAAAGTGGTAAAGACTTTGAAGCTTGAAACACAGGCCATGAGCACAGGAGGAAAAGAGGCCAAGGTCTTCCGACCCTCCTGGGTCAGTTTGCGCAAGTAGGCCTCCGAGTCCAGAGTAACATCTGGGCCAAGTGTGGCTGGGACCTTCCAAAGTCTTAAGTGGGAGACGCTCACAAAGGTGGAGACTGACAGAGCTAAGATCCCCGAGGGAGGACATGGAAGGCAGCGTCATGGATTGGACCGCTCAGTATTTTAGATTTCTCGGTCCCCCGGGGCTTTCTGTCCCCACGGGGACCTCCAAGTAAATGACAGAGCCGAAAATAGTCTTGCGTGCCAAAAGAATTCTAGATTTGAATGGTGACGTACTGCCTTGATCTGCCGGTCTTTGATTTTGTGCGTCTATTAATTCCCACATTCAGGCGATACTTTGGTGTCGTTTTTCTCTTTGTGCCAGTTTTCTCTGCTCCCTCACTGCTCCTTTTAGCCAGTTGAGCTGGTCAGTGCGAGGCTGACACGTCTGCCACATTGTGCCATGTAGGTTGACAATGTTTGGTTACGGAGATAAGCATGTGTGTGCGTTGGAGCTTCTTTTATAGCACAGACCTTTAAAGGGACAGAAGGCGTATCCAGTGCATTGTAGTGGTTAGGGATTATCGGCATCGTTATTATTATTTACTGTTGTCGCTGACGACACCAGAAGGTCTGGTTTGTTGTTGTCCGATAGTGCCGCCAAAGACGTGTTTTCTCCAGACAGAAGGGCAGAAACCCATTGGAGTAAGTGATCCAGTGAGGTGGAGGGATAATGGGAGACCTGAGACAGCGTGTAGGTGAGGCAGGGACGGCAGAGCATGTATGTTGCATTCAAAGTCATCATTCAATTTCAATTCAATTTTCTTTAAATAGCGCCAAATCACAACAATAGTTATCTCCTTCCAAACAGAACAGGTCAGAACCTACTCTGAGCTATTTACAGAAGCCCAACTATTCCCACCAAGAGCAGCACTAGGCGACACAGGGAAGGAAAAACTTCCTTTTAAGAGGCAGCAACCTTGAGCAGAACCATGGCTCAGGGTGGGCGGCCATCTGCTTCGGCCGGTTGGGGGTGAGAGACAGAAAGGGCGAGAGAGAGAGAGAGAAGGACAGAGGGAGCGGAAGAAGGCAGCCTGCACAATAACACATAGACTGGATGAAAAATGGTAAAGGTATTGATGATAATGATAGCAATAAGACTATAAACAGTGGCTGTAATTGTAGCAGAGTATGAACACAGGGGCAGCAGGAAACTCCCAATCACAGATCCAACTTCCACAGCTCCATGAACACCTTTAGGAAGTGACAGGAGGAAAGACGAGAGGGACGAGAAAGCACACGACTACAGGAAAGGGGAAAAAAAAGGTAAGTCATGTGACCTGCAGCTGAGAGGTCGGCGGTCGGATTGCCAGCTCCTTCTTTAAGCCAGCCCTGCTCCTGACCTGCTCGTTGGTGCCTTATTTTTAAGAGAGGAAAAGATTTTTGTGACAAACTCAACGCAGAGCCTACAGCAAGCTTTAAGTGGAATGATCTGCTCTTGAGATTTCAGGCATCGAATTCTTTTCGCCGGGCGCGAACATGAAGTGATTTTTGAATTTGCTGAGGCTCGCTTATGCGTTTTCCCAGAACCTGAGCCGTTTCTGGGCGAGGTGGCATGTCTGGAGTCAGCGTAATAAGCAGGCCGTCGGACGATGTGCGTTAATTCTTCATCTCCATTAACTGCCATGCGTGAGTAAGTTTGAACACGGTAACGGCACCCTGGCTCTTCCAGCAGTAGAGTGTTTTTTAGCAAGTCAGCAGCCTGTTTAGTAACTGATTAAACAGAGATCCAGTTGACTGATGCAGCAGTCCTCTTGGTTGCGTTCATGGTGGGTGGCTCATTAATACCTCCTCTTGTAAACATTTGCACAGATGTCATATTTGCATCCCATCTGCATGACTTAAATAAGCCTCTTACCTCTTCAGCCACAGCGGGGCTCACATTCAACTGTTTACTGGTTAGCTGTTGTTCTTCTAATGATGAATTAAGGGGCGAGGATAAACACGAATGTCACTGAACCTGCTGCAGGGTGACTTTGACCATAGTAGGCCACGGCACCAGTGGCTCAACCTGGATTATCAAGTCCCGACTTTTCCGCCGTGTTGCATAACTGGCTGCTTTAATGCATCTTACACAAGGTGATTCGGCGCACGCAGGCTGCTGGAAGTCCAGGAGCCAGGCCCCCCTCTCCAACTCTCTAATTCTGGGGACGGTGGTTTGGTAATGCGTGCATCTGCAGCATCAGGCGGCGCGTTCACACCAGGCCCACACAGGCATTAGTCAGACCCTTCGGCGTGGCTATCTGCACATTGTGTGCTGCTGACTGTCACACTTAGCTCACAGTGTCATCAGAGGCTCCGCTCCGAGATGCAATTACGGATATCGCCCGGCTGGCCGAGGGAGCGGTGCCGGCTGGATCCTGCTCCCCGGGCCGCAGACGTTCAGTCACTCTGTCACGTTTATCGGGGCATAATGAGTTGAAACGAGCTTCGGTAAAAGGCTCTGATTTAGACGGAGCTTTCATTCATCGCTCAGTGCTGCTCCGCTGCTGCTGGACTGCAGTTCTCCACAATTATTGTCGCAGTTCAATTAATTGTGTTGCACGTCGAAATAACACACTGGCGTTGGAAAAACTGATAAAACGCACAAAAAAAACTGCTTGTATTGATTACCAACCATTCAAAACCCCCAGAAGTCATCGAATTGTATTCCACACATAAATTAGAGCGTGGACAGACTACCCCGCGCTTCCTTCCAGCCCCCTTTCTTCCCAGTGAATTATGGCCTGATATCTTGAATTCTTTGGGAGCTGGAAGCACAGTTTGCCAGGCTTCATGCTTCGACAAAGCGAGGGAAGTAACAGCTCCGAATTGTGTCATGCTGTCATTCACAGGAAGTGATGTTGCTGCCTGTAAGTGTGGTGAGCCGGAGGACCGAGGCGGTGCTTTGCACCACGTCTCATTGAGCTCACAGGTTTCCTGTGGTTTTTCGACATTGTGTCTCTCCACCTGCAGAAAGCATAGCGCGCGCTGATAAAAAAGCAACAAAAGGAGAAGAAAAAAAAAAAACCCCAACCGCGCGACGCTTTAACAGTCGCGGCGTGCAGATGGCGGCTCCGAACGTCCACACAGCTGTGGAGACGTGCAGAACCATCGGAACAGCAATTGTGCTCATTGTGTCGTTGCAAAAGCTGCTGTGGGAAGACGGGGCTCGAATGGGGCGGCGAGTAGCGCACAGGCTCCCTCTTCCAGTTTGATATCGTCCCCCGTCGTACGTCAGAGCCAGGTCAGGCCAGACGGGCCTCCACAGTTGTGTTTGCAGTTGGTATGCTGCCCCTGGTCCCGTCTGAGGCCAGGCGGCTTCTTTATGTGTGGGACTGTATGTGTGCTGTGGCAAAAAAACTAAAACAACAACTGGTGAACCGAATACACCCAGTGGTGAGGTGGTTATGCCTTTTTTGGAGGCTACAAAGAGACACTGAGCTTTGTTCTGACTCAGCCTGGCATGGGCTCCACGGGTCGATGCCGGGGCTTCCGGAGTCCCTCTTCTGAAGTGCACTAGTCTGTTGTCTCCTTTTTGCCTACATGCCTTCGTTAGATTGGAACAAAACAAATCAGGCAGACAGGCTCACCTTTTTTTTTTTTCACTCCATGTGACTTCCGTCCATCACAGTTTGATCCTGTCAGATGAGGATATTTGTATGAGCTGCTTGTGCTTGGTGGACATGACCCAGACAGTCTCAGATAATCAGTTCCTCTCAGGATTTTGACACCAGGCCATTCTGAAGAAAGCCTGCAAGGAACAGTGAGTGATGAAAACAAGGGGGGGAGGAAAAGCAGTCACTCTGCCTGCTCAGCAAGATTTATTATCTACATGGTATCATAGCAACAGATGCAGATTGCTTGAGCTAATACTCCCTTAATTCCGTATTTGTTTAGCATGGGGGCAGATGGCAGAGGAAGAGGCGCTATCAGCTCTCCTAAATGGGTGTTTTTTAGAGGTTTTAAAAGTGTTTGCCTTGCTTTTGGCTGCGCTCAAGCCCCAAGCATACGTCTGCACAGAGGGCTGTTGACCACAGTCATGGGCTGCCAGTTCTCAGTAAATATTCACAATATGCTGTTTGTGTACTCTAGCTTGTCTGCCTCTAAGTGTCCTCTCTCTCTTTCTCTCTCTCTGTCTTCTGTCTGACGATGTGTCAATATTGTCCGAGCTCATATAAAGCGAGACTAATATGTTTCTCCCTTCGCCTTTCTTTATTGCAGCGGTGCGTTTTCTGAAGTGGTGATGGCTCGGGAGAAGTCCACAGGGAAGATGGTGGCAATCAAGTGCATCCCCAAAAAAGCGCTCAAGGGGAAGGAGACGAGTATCGAGAACGAAATCGCCGTCCTGAGGAAGTAGGTGCCGCATGACTGAGCCGTGCAGGGGGGGGGAGCAGCTCCTCATAAAGGGGTCACCGCCTTGCACCATCCTCTGGGAAGCTTGTGCTTTCCTCCGCTCTCTCTCCTCCCTCGGCTGGTTAATTTAGTGCCAGTTTATTTAACAGTCATTGACAGGCTTAAGTGACCGCCCTGTCGAATCCCATCTATCAACCTGCGTACACACACACACACACACACACGCTGTTACACAAGGTATGATAGGATTGCTCTGACACCAGGTGACTCTCCATCATCCCCCAAGGCTTGATGGGTAAATTCCCAGAGAAGCTCAGTTATCAGTCACTCTAAAAGTCAGCATTGCAGTGCTTGGGTGTAGTTGCCTAGTTACAGCTGCTATCCTTTGACAAAACTACATTTTTCTCTCACTCTCTCTCTCTCTCTCTCTCTCTCTCTCTCTCTGTCTCTCTCCCTCTCATTGTTTCTCATTTGTTTCTCTCCCTCTCTTTACACTCTATAAATGTCTTAAAACTGCAGTCATTTTCATTACCCGCTTGGAAAAATGCAAAGTGGTGAAGGTCTAATCTTTTGAGAATATTTCTCTCCCCCTCCTTCTCCTCCTCCTCCTCCTCCTCCACGTCTACCTTTTCCTCATCAAACAGCAACCCTTTAGAGGACATATTGTCAACAGCATGTTTTTTTTCTCCTTCTTTTTATTCGTTGCCTGGACACAGATTCCTGATATCTTGATCCAGCGTAGAGTGTTTCCCTCAGGGTTTGCCGCTTCATCACTCACTGATCAACATAAAAACGTTTCTTCTCCTGTATATTGAGTGAAAAAATAAAAACGGCCTCTGATTTAAGTTTCACCGTCCTGGACCTGTATGTTTACCCAGTCACTGAAGAATAACTGGGAAAGAAAAGAAAAAAAAACACAAAGATTTTAAACAAAGGGCTAGCTGAATGTCTTGGGCGTTCCATGCTGAACTAAATGAAAGCCGGCGGCAAACAGTGAATTTTCTCTTCCCCCTCAGGATAAAGCACGAGAACATAGTGGCTCTGGAGGACATCTATGAGAGCTCCAATCACCTGTACCTCATAATGCAGTTGTAAGTACATCAACCCACCATGCTGCTTCCCGTTTGGCCTGTAGTTTCAATAATGTGTCATGTTCCAAGCCCAAGCGAGTGTAACGTCCTTGAGGCAGCTTTGGTGCAATGGATGCAGTCACGCTCTGAAGAGGAATCGGTCCTGATTCCAACAGCAGCATCATTTGTTAACTGAGGTTAAATCATCCCGTCATGTTAACTAACCAGTTAAAAAAAAAAAGATTTCTATGCATTTTGGGAGAGATACTCATTGCTTTCTTGATGATGTATTGAAGATGTTGACAGTATTCTCATGTTTTGTGAAGTAAACATGACGGTAAGCCCAAAATTCCAATGAGCCCAGAATGAGTTGAAGAATCATAAATCTAGGTTGCTGCCGTAAGATATGTTTTACACCAGACGCACAGAATATTGACATACAGTATATTTTTGTGTTTTAGAGATCACAATGAGTAATTTTCTTTACCTTATCATATCAAGCAGCTTGTACAGTGCCTTCGTTTTTCTCTGGCTTTAGGGGTTTACTTAGCAGCATTTCCTCTGCCGTGTGGAATATGTCGTCATAATTCCACACCGTTGCCCTGCCCACATAATTTCACAGTGTTTGTGACTAATGCACCTGCAATTTGGACAGCAATTATCTGCCCTCTCTATTTCTCTGAAAGGTGCTTAATGTAGCCTTGAAGTCTCTTATGTAAATGGTAATTGAAAGTAATTTTGTGAAGGCAGGCGCAAACTTCTACACGACGCTGACCTTAATGTGTGTGTAGAGAGTTTGTCCTTTGGAGTTTAATATTGTTGAGAATGGCTGGTGCATTAGTGCTAAACATCGATTAAGTTCATGACGTCACAGTGACATTTCACGGATGTCCCCGTCACGGATGTTTTTCAAAAGGAAGACATTTTAGAAGGACTCACTAATGTCAACGCAGCTCTGAATTCAACAAAACACCTTAAAGAAATATGTAAAAAAAAGCTCAAAAAGGCTTAGAAATATCTAAGCTAGCAAAAACATTTGTTTTTTTAAGACATGGGATTAAAAAAAGATTTTACACATAACTGCTAATTGAAAACAATTAAGTTGTATGGGTAATGCTTGACTTTTATTCCCAATCTTTATTTTATTTATTTATTTAATTTTTTTAATAGAATCTCTTCATAACCTTTGAATCATTTAAGAACTTAAGTGCAGGGTGTTCTAAACAGCCTGAAGTAAATGCCAAACTAGGGGGAGGGGTTGTCCATGTCTCTTTGGTTGAGTGAAGATAGCAAATTAATAGATGTATTAGTCAAACCGTGCTTTGTCTTAAAAAGGACAAACTGTACAACCCAATCAAGATGGCTTTTTAAAAAAAGTAGTGACCCAGCTTCCTACTTCAGCACTTTGAAGTAGAACCTTTAATGATAATCCTCTTATTAGAATTATGTCAACCAGTCTTCTGGTTTGTGCATGTTGACAGGGTGTCTGGAGGGGAGCTGTTTGATCGCATTGTGGAAAAGGGCTTCTACACAGAGATGGACGCCAGTCGACTCATCCGGCAGGTGTTGGATGCAGTCAACTATCTACACTCCATGGGCATAGTGCACAGAGACCTAAAGGTACAGAGGCATTTTGGTACTCACACCTGCCTTTTGTTGCACCCTTCAGTAAACAAGAGAGGGAAAATCCTTTCTGCCTGACCTGGGCTGTTGATGCCGTAGTCGATAGTAATCGTCCAAAGAGGTTAAATGTCAGGGATTTTCCCTCTCGGAAAACTGTTGAAGCCTCTTGGCTGAGCCGGGAAAGCTCTTGAAAGACAAATCCATTGTCTGACATTTTCCAGACGATTAACATTGGTCCATTTGCACGTACACACACACACACTCACGCACTAACAAAATCCAATGGCTAACACTCCTAGACAGGTGTTTTGATTCATTCTTTTGCTCTATTATCAGCCTGAGAACCTGCTTTACTTCAGTCCTCACGATGACTCGAAGATCATGATAAGTGACTTTGGCCTGTCTAAGATGGAAGGCACGGGGGGCGTGATGGCAACGGCCTGTGGGACTCCTGGATACGTAGGTGAGGAGGCCCTCTGCCCTCGGACTTTGATGGAAACTTACTCGGAGTGTGTGTTGCTCCAGTTGGCTGCACACACGTTTAATCTGCCTGCAGCCCCAGGTTTAAATGAACCATCTGCTGCAGGCAGTCCACCAAATATGCCTATACTGCATGTTTCTGGCCTCCAAGTTGTGGGGAAAGGTCAAAAGTGCTTTGTTTAGGTATTACTGTGTTTTCTGATGATTAAAAAATGTCTTTGTTTCAGCCCCTGAGGTTTTGGCACAGAAACCTTACAGCAAAGCTGTGGACTGCTGGTCCATTGGGGTCATCGCTTACATCCTGTGAGTACTTCAAATGTACAGTTTACCTGATGGTAGCTTTTTGATTCATTCAATTTTATCCCTAGTTAAATGAGATGTTAATGTTTGTTGATAATGGGGGTAAAAAAAGAGAACTTCCCTCTTGAACAGGAAACAGGAGAAAATATAAAAAATCCTGCCAACAAATTCAAATCAAACCCTGAACCAAACAAAGGGCCAGATGAAAAGCGTAGGTCGGACTGCTTGTGGGCCGATGAACAACCCCTGAAGGAACAAGGTGTTCTCTTGTATCTAAATACATTATGTTCAGACACAATTAAACATGGCCTAAAACAATCAGACTGCAAGTGTAAAACTAGAGCCAGGTTCCACAAAGCTGCCCACCTAACCGAGGAAAGTGGGGTTACTTGTTTGCAAAGGAAAAGCAACTGGTTTTGTAATTCGTGTGTTGTGTGCTATGAATTTTCTAACCCGCAAATGAGTGCTCTTCCTGCGTGAATTCTGAGTGTTATTGTCCAAAGCCCAGCCCAAGTGCACAGCATGGATTTATGCTTTTTTCTGCAGTTCACATGCCCGTGTTTTTTTTTTTTCTCATATCATATGAAAGTGGATTGCTTTTGTACTATTTTTTACCCTTCTTAGTGTTCTTGATAATCCCTCTGAGCTGTCTCCTGTTGCATGCTCTAGGAAAAATCAAACTGCCTGTAAATGAGATTAGGTCCCGGCAAATCCTTTTAGATTATTGTTAAAGTTACCAACATCATCTGGATGATGACTTTCACGCAGCCTGTTGCGTAATTATCCCACTCATCCATCTTCCCAGGCTCTGTGGTTACCCTCCGTTCTACGACGAGAACGATTCCAAGCTCTTTGAGCAGATTCTCAAGGCGGACTACGAGTTTGATGCACCATATTGGGATGACATTTCGGACTCAGGTGAGCTATGACAAGCCATGTTTACAAAAAAGAGTTTGGTACACTGCCTTAATCTGTACAAGAAGGCTAATAAAGGCCATTGCTGACACATGAGCTCACTTCCTGGTTCTAAATGCTTAAAAAAAAACTAATTCGCCTGCAATGACTGGTTTGGAGTTCCATGTTATGTAAAGTCTTAAGGGATCATCTCTGGTTGCTGTAGTTGGGCCCAAAAAAAAAGAAAGGTCATGTCAGCGGGTTTCTTTCCTTTGTCTCTCTCATGTGTGATATAAAAATGTTTAGCGGCTATATAATGGGAAATTATAATTTCATCAGGCTTTAAGAAGGCTGTTCTGGCAGTCTGCTCATCTCAACACGTTTGTTTTTATCTTTAAATGGAAATTAAAGTAAAGATTTTGTTTCCTTTTTTTCTCCACAAAAGTGAGGTTGTTCTTTTTGGGTAACTGTGAGTTCTTCGGGGCTGCTGGACGTGGAGAATAGAGCTTTAGGGGAACATTTGAATCCCAGAGTGATGGAGAGTGTACATCGCATTCTAAGCTGGATGAGCTCTTGACTTTTTCCTCTCCCTTCTCAGCCAAAGACTTCATCAGCTGCCTAATGGAGAAGGACCCTGAGAAGAGATTCACATGTGATCAGGCTCTCGAGCACCCCTGGTGAGGAACTCGCAGCCACACTGCGCCACAAGCAGACCATCACAGGGAACCGCGCTTACACAGCAGCGTGACGCAGGCCTGACAGGCTTACGCATTTGTCACAGGGAGCTTGTCCTCCCACTGTCATCTGTCACCATGGCTCCGAGCCGCCAGCCCACCTCTGCCGGGCACTGCCAGCCCTATGCGGAGAGAAATCTGCTGAATAAATGTCTGCCAATTAGTGGCTGATCCGCTGAAGGATCCTTCAAGAATGTGAGCGATTTAATGAACAATCGGGATGTCTTCCATGGCCTGCGTCAGCGCTAATGAGAGTGTGCTGGCGTGGGCTGCTGGCTCAGGCTGAGGTGGCAGTAGGTCTGTTAGGCAGTAATGGGCATTTGCGGTGGAGAGCAGGTGGCCTGCCGATGTCTGCAGACATCAGTAACAGGTGTCAGGACGGAGAGAAATGACTCTCATTGACAAGGTTTCATAGAGAGATATTATGAAGAATGGGGAATAAAAACCTCCCGCAGAAAGAGCAGCGCATCAATCAGCGCCGCAGAGTCAAAATAGATTAAGAGGCCGCAGCAGAAAACAGCACGAGGTTGATTCCTCTGGCTTGGCTTATATGGAGATAAATCACCTGAGTTGGGGTTGGGGTCAAAGGTGGTGAAGAAGGGTATTGTGTTAGGCGCTCTCCCTCGAGATTCAAAGAACGCTTCAAGTCTACTGTTTCAGTGTTGTATCGGCTTATGAAATTGTAGCCGTGTTTGCATTTGATTCTTGTCCTGTTAGGGAGTATAGAATCGTATTAGGGCATCTGGTTTTGGTGGAACCACTGTTTGTGCGTGAGAATGTTGTGTTGAGGAAAAAAAAGGATTGTGAAAGGTGAGAAAGGAGTACAAGAATGGAGGTGGAAGAGTATAAGAAAGAGTATAAGAATCAGGTTGGGGGTTAACTTGTTGGGATGTGGTTGTATCCGTAACTTGGCTTTAGGTTTCAGTGTGTGGGGAATATGTGTAAATTGAAAAAAATTGCAGAGAATATGGACTGTTTTATTTTAATGAATAAATGTGGATTGGTTTCAGGTAAAATGTTCTTTTTTTGAGAGCTGTGTTGTGTACATGTGCTTTAGTTGGAATGTTTGTGTTGTGGTGGTGGTATATGTGTTTTTTTTATTCATAAATCACTTGTTTCACTTGCAAAGGATTCCTTTGACTCTTTCTTCTTCTTTCAGGATTGCTGGAGACACTGCTCTCTGCAAGAACATACATGAATCAGTCAGCCGACAGATGCGGAAAAACTTTGCTAAAAGCAAATGGAGGGTGAGTGCGGCCGACTTCAGCTTTCTCCAGACAGAAAACACTCGCAACTTTCTCTTCGTTTTTCTTCTTTTAATTGTAGGAACCATAACACGGTTTGTTTGTTTTCTTACATCCGGTGACGTTTCCTCTCCCTCCTCTGTCCACAGCAAGCGTTTAACGCCACAGCTGTGATCCGCCACATGAGGCGCCTGCAGCTGGGCACCAGCTTTGGCAGCAGCATCCAAAGCAGCAACTCGGTGTCGAGCCCCCAGAGCCGCGCTCCGGCCAAGAGCCAGTCTGTGGACTGCACCCCGCTCTCCCTGAAGGACTGTGAGTGGCACTTCAGACGCTGCACCAGCAGCCGCATGTCCAGCGTTTAGTTCAGGGCTCAGAGGAGTCTTCACTCTGCCGTGCCGACCCTCAAGTGTGCTGGCCACATTTGTCTGGGTGTACTTGGTTTTTCATACCATCTCCCAAAAGCTGAAAAACTCTGTGATGGACACTTATTTTTGCTTAGACTTTTTTTTTCTTAAACTTCTGTTTCCAAATGTAGAAATGAGATGCGTTCACTGGCAATTATTTTCAGAAGCACTCGCGTACGCGCAGGGGGTTTCTGTTTTTTTAACAGTGTCGATTGTCTATGAATGGTTGCCCAAGGGCCCAAAGACCACAACGCCTTAACATTTCACTACAGAAATTTGACCACGTCAGAGCGAGACCACCATACGCATAATTTTTAATGCGACATGGGTCAGAAATGTCAAATGAACAAACAAGCACACAAAAAGTTATGCTATACACCACCATATTGATAAAGCTTTGCTAATTGAACATTTCAGTTTTTGGCCTCCATGTTGGATTTCCCAGCATGAGTTAAAAAAAAAAAAAAAAATCAGCTTCATGATTTTTGCATCCCATTTTTCAGTACCAATAATCTGACATGCAAATACATACGATTTAACAGTAACTGTGAGTGCATGTCTATGGCTGCATCACGGCTTTTGTGTGGATAAAACGATTTTAAACCACATAGTACCACGTTAACTGAAGCCTCTCATCAGATTGAGGGAACGCTTTTGTACTTAAAGCTGAAACTTCCCTCTCTTTTGCAGCCCCCCCCATAGCTCCCCTGCCGTCTGCTGTTAAAGCTCACAGTCAGGACTCGGACGCTCCTGCTGCTGGGACGCGGGACGAGCCCCCGGCGGCGGCCGACCCCTCTCGGCCGCGACCGTCCACTGTGACCGTCATCCACACTGGGACTAAATGACGCCAGGTTCCGCGGGAGGTGAGCTGGGAGACCACGGAGCTTTGAAACGAGAGGGGAGAGGAAAAATCCGCCCTACGCCTCGTGATTCAACGCCGTTGCCCAGTTCGCCCATCCCGCCGCCTCCCATATCGATTCTCTGAAACACGGGAGGAATTTGAGGAGTGCTTGCTTGGCTCCATTTAGCATGGCTCAGTGCCGAAACCCCCCCTTCCCCCTCCACACACACCCACACACCGCTTCCCTTCCCACTGTCCGACAGAACCTGGAAGCAGAGTTGGGGAGCAACTCACCCGAAGTTTTTGTTGACGGACGTGAGGGTTGTGAGAGAAGCTGATGCTGCGTGTGGGGTGCCACACTAAAGGAAAACCTGAAGGGAAACTGCTACTGTCAGTAGACTCTGATTGGACGTTCAGCTGTATGCCTTGTGTAAATATCTGCCTGGAACTGTTGCGTGGAGTCTTGTAACGCAAGTGAAAAAAATATACGCTTAAAGCTGTGGTAAAATAATTGTGACATCACCCGCGCTCTGAACTTCTCCCGGCTCGGGTGGGCTCGTGTACATTTGCTGTGGTGTTTGCTGCAACGGCTCACGGCATCGAAACTTCCAACAGTATGACAGTCAGTGTCGTGTCTTTGCTTTGTAGTGTGTGTGTGTGTGTGTGCGTGTGCGAGTGGAATCCAAACAGGAGAACTTGCATCAGTCGTGGCTGTGATCGCAGAGGGGGCCGGCGCATCGCACTTCTGTGTTGGAATATTTATTTTCCTATAATATATTATGATTTTTGTAAGAATATCACCTGCAGAAATGTGTATCATAAGACTGGATTTAAGGCTCTCGCATTGTCTGAAGAAGATATAGTATCTAATAGCTGTTGACTTTGTAATCTCTGTTTTATTTGAAGAATTCATTTTTGGCGTGACTGTCCAAGTCCTCCTCGGCCACAGGGGGGCGTCAGGGGTTGTTGCTTTATGACCAGTTCTCAGGGATCTGCAGGGACGTGAACATGAAGCCAACCAAACACCTGTGCGTGATCAGACTCTTCTGTTTCATCCGAAAAGTAAAAAAAAGTTTAAAGATCCAAATACAGCTCACAGTATTATCCTAATGTGCCGCTGGGGCATTTGTTTTATTACTGTTGACACTATATTTCCCTTTAAAAAAACCTCTTAACTGCTTTTGGATGTAAAGACGTGCGCGTTCATGACTGTAATCGAAGTGTAAAATGACAAATGAATGCGAGAGTGTCCTGGTTAAGATGGCTCCCTTGGCAGAGTGGGGTGGGTTGTATACAGTGGAGTTGTTGAAATATCGTGCTCTGCTTCTGCTCATGAAGTGGCTGCTCTGGGAACAGCTCAGTCACTCTGTTTAATCACTGTGCTTTCGTACCAGCCTGTTGAATTTAGCAGAAAGACTCTTCGTCCTTCTCTCTCCCGATCACTCTCAAGAGACATTCGCACAGAGAAGAGAAGGGATCTGTCTTTGTATCTATCTCTCTATTTGATTTCAATCACTCAACATGAATGTGGAAAAAAAAAAAAGAATAAATAAAGGAACGCTCCACCAGAGCATGCCATTTTTAATCTTCTACAAATGTGGTGAATATCCTAAATGGACTTTGAGCATACTACTTACTGTAAAATACAAAGCCCTACAAAATTTGTCATGGTTTTGTGTTTTTATTTTTTTATGTTCTTATCAACAAAAAGCGGAATATGAATCGTTGAAAACCTCTCAGGTCACATGCTGCAGAGATTCTCAGAGAACAGGTCGATTCACATGAAAAAGCGAAGCTGGTAACATGCTACTTATATGATTTTTTTACATAGAGTAAATATTAAGAAATAGTTTTCTAACATCACTTAAGGATATGCTGCTGTTTGGGATACAATAACATACATACAAATGGTCTAATCCCAGAAAGCAAAGCTCACAGTTTGTTACATAATTAGCATTGTTTGATAAGTTTAAGTCATTTGTGAGAACTCATCATAGACGTGTCTTATAGCTAAATAAACACAACAAAACTTTCCTATGACATTGATTAAAGACAGAACTTTCTTTTTCAGAACTATTCTTACTGTACTTTTTGGATTTTTTTTAAATGGAACACTAACAAATAATTTCACAATTTGGGCTAAAAGGGAAGATTTGTTTGTGAACATTTGAAAAACCTCCTTGTTTAAGCAAGAGTTTGACCAAAATCTCCATCAGATTGTGATCTTTAAAACACTGTCACCATTGGTTTGCTCATTTTTTAAAAATAATGTTGAATGTTTTATGGAAAAAGAACAGTTTTTATGTTTTTGATTCTCCACCTATGCTTATGCCAACAGAAAAAGAGAATAACTTACAATATTGATTTGAAAAATGTTTCGATCTGCGTTAACATGCATGTTGAGGATATAAAAAAGCATGGTGAGGCTGCTGGTCTGCTCTCTGCTCTCAAATGGTGTGGCGGTTATAGTCCTGGGGAGGGTGCATCCCGTCGTAGTGGAACTCCCTCCACTGCTCGGTGCTCTCTCTGGTCCTCTCGTCTTGCTCTGGTAGATCACGCACATGTCAGTGAGTGGTCCGGCTTTATCGGTGGATAGACTATACCATACCAACATACCATCATTCTCCTCCTCGGCGTAGTTCTCAAACTCGTTTCTCTTCTCCTCGTGAAACTCCCTCTTCCGTTCATCGGCAGCCAAAACCTGCCTCTGCTCAGCTGCAACCACAGAAAGGGAAAATTTAGGTTGATTTTACTGCTGCTGGCCATAGTGGACCCACACAGGATGTAAATACATAGACATCTTTTTAAAAAAAAGGCAGATCAGATCAGCTTGGATTTGAAACAATCAGGTGAAATCATGCCTGAGGTGGATCTGTAAATGACTACGTAACAATGGAGGTTAATCAGATAAAAATGTGCCTGCGGTGCCATATCACTGACAGCCACTAGAGGCCCAGTGTGAGGCCGGAAACATTGTTCAGAAACCAGAAATGAATTCCCCATATCAGCGTTCTCTTGGTGCTTTTATCACATTTCATATGTGAGCGAATGGAGTTTTTTCCTTGATCACATTTCTTTGTGCCTGTGGTTTTTCAGCATGATGTTTGATTGTATTTCCCCAATTTGTTCTTCATGTGAGCAGTCTGAAAATGTTACAAATCTGTGGATGAAGGAGAGAAAAAGCCCATTAGCCTCCTGGCAGAAATGGGCCGGGAGCGTCATCTGCCCCTGAGGCATGTCAGCTCTGCAGAAAAACCACAATAAAAAGCGATGAACAGCAAGTCTCAACCTGCCCTGATAGCACTCTGCTGTAGAGCACTGCTCTGTTCCCACCAGTGCATCCTCTGTAAACCACGTTTCACATAGAGTTTATAGATCACAGTAAGTGGGAAAGCACACTCACTATATTGTAAATGAACAGGAAATTCAAACAGGGCCCAAGATTATTTTAACCAAATAATCACCTCAAACCATGGTCGGAATATTAACGTAATCGAAAATTGCACAGAGCTGGATCAGTTTGGTGGCCACAGAGGCTTTTTACACAGAAGCTAGCTGTGGTCGCTTATCTGGGCCATCACTAGCTGGAAGGGAACCAAAAAAGGAGGGAGAAATGCCCTGTGTACTGCGTTTAAGATGCCTGGAATTCTTTAGGCACTCAAACACAATGCATTTTTCAGGAAACATGAATAAATTACAACTAGGAAAGATCAATGAAACAAAAGGCAAAACAAGGAATGAACATTTTACTCCTGCAAAGCACTGATTCTGAACAATGTAAGTTTGTGTGAAGGACCTTTTTTTTCAATATACAAAGGAAAGAGTCTATTGTTATTGTCTTATTTATAGGAAAATTAAATGGTGGAGGAAAAAACAAAACCCAGAATATAATCTAGACTAAAAAGAATTTAAGAAAAGTGTTTTTTTTTTCATTAGAAAAATGTTGTGTTTTTGGAAACTGCCAGTAAAGATCAAACTGGCGGCAGTCTTAGTGGAAGAGACGTTAGCTGTGACAGGAAAGCTTTGGGATTGCTTGGCTAACCTTTTTGAAGTAGGGTGACAACCTTTGACCTTTTCTCAGGCTCTATAGCTCAAACTTCTGCTCACATTTAGGGCTGATGCCAATGCTGTGAACTCCACTTACTGAACCGTAAATGACAACACATCTGAACATGACTTGCATCCTTGTTAGAATGAGTATAAAAGTCATCTCGCTTTTGTGTAAATGTTCTTATGTCTGACATCAGAAAGAGAAATCGTGTAGTATTTAACATGCTGACAAGTCACTGCAACCTTTCCCACAAATCCCCAACACTTCACACTCACATGTAGATTTTTAGAACTTTGCCCCACAATCCAACCCCTCCCCGTCCTCTCGCAGAAGGAGCTGATATCTATTTCAGGTAATTTCCTTTGTGAATTCCATCTGCCTTCAGGGGGGAACGCTTTCATCTCAGCACACTGTAGCGGAGGCTCCTCAAAGTGGGCGCTTGGTTTGTCTCTTTTCTGACCCCTGTCTGTCTATGTGTTGGCACATTCCACATTCAGCTCCCAACTGCTCACCCACTCCCTCGTCCATCCCGGTCTGCCCGGGGCTTTTGCTTTCATACGATCCCTACTTTTAACGCCGCAGACAGACACACGGCCCGTGTTACACAACTCCTGATTCAGGGCATGCAGAAATCAGCGTGTGCTCTCACCTCCCCGCCGGCACAACCGCACAAAAAACAGCCGGCGTTAACAGTGCTGGAGAATGTCAAACATTGTACAGTGTGTGAACGCTTGTAAAAAGAGGACGCTGATAGATGTGGACCGGTGCGAGCTACCATGCTGCCCTGTGGCTCCTGCTGCTGCAGAGGGCCGAACAGGTCTGAGGTGGTTTTGCTGGTCGGGCCGAGCCCGGAATACAGCAAACAGTCGCTGGCTGTCGGTGACAAAAAGCAGCCAAATGGCTGTAAACACATGAGCTCACTGTGCAGTCAGCCAGCAGCAGCTCTGCAGCCTAACAGGAGACATTCTCTTTTATGCTGCAGGGCAAATAAAGGTGTCCCAGTTCCACTTGTTTCTGTTACAGTATAATCTCTTTCGGTTGGGGAAAAGAGAAAAAACAAAATGGAGGGAAATGAGGCCTCGTCGGTTGTTGCCGGGAGAAATAAGCAAGACAAACATTTTAGTTTGCCGTTCCGTGGCTGTCAGTTTATCAAACATCTTGCATTGATTTTCTTATTTTGCCAAACAAATTCCAGAGTTTGAGGATGATTTTAAGGAGCAACGTGAATTTCCAAAAGAGTTGCTGAAGGGATCCTTTAATTCGTCATAGATTTGGCTCCATACGCCATAAACCCCATTCGTTTTGTTCAGAGATTTGAAAAAGCTTTTATCAAACTGTGAAACATGCAGACCCTTATGGATGTATCATTTTCTTTTACAGGTTGACATGCAGATTTATTTTAAGGGGATGACAATTTAAAGAATAAAAGACATCCTAACATCAAGGACTCTGAATGGTGTCCTGTTTCAGTATAATACCCCCCCCTTTAGATCAATTTCTAACTATTTTGAGTGACATTTCCTTTAACTGAGAGGCATAAATGGTCCTGAGGATGAAAGCAACACAGATTCCCACCATGAAGAGCCACAAACAGCCCAGAAGTGTTCTCACCGTTGATCTCATCCTGAGACTTCACGGCTCGTCTGCTGCGTTTCCTGAAGAAGTTCGCGGCATCGGCCTCTTTCATGAAGATCCTCCTCATGGGACCTGCGGTGGAAGCAGGTGGTGGTTCAGCTCATTACATGAAGAGACAAAAAGAAGACCCGCAGATGAGGCGGTTCCTCACCTTGCGGGTTTTTAGCCGTGCTGGCGGACACTGCTGCTGAGTCGGCCTCCGGAGTCACTGTTTGAGGACAGAATGTGAGAGATTCACATCAAAACACTGAGCTGAGCCCGCCACACTCCTCTATCTGTGCGGTTAACTAAAAAAAAATCAACTTGTGTTAGTTTTTAAACCAGCCACAGCTGCATTTATAATCCACATGTGCATAAGATGAAAATGATTTTCCTGCATCAGACTCACAGGAAAGTGCCAAAAGCACGGTGAAGACAGCCAGGAGAGCTGCGTGTGTCCAAGGCATCTTTATCGCCGAGCCCGAAATGTTGAGAGATTCCAGTCGTGAAGAAACACAGGAAGGAGAGAGGTGAGTGAGACGTATGTGAGAGGTGGGCTGGGAGGCCCGGAGCAACGTGAGTTGCTTGTCCGGGGAGGAAGGGAGTGATTGTGCAGATCTGATAAAGGGCTTGATCCAACAGCCACCACAGAGATCTTTCAAAGCGACAGGAAAGTATTGAAGGCTTCATTTGTTCTCAAGAGACGTCTTGTCTGTGTCTTTTTACAGCCATCCCAACTCCAACTATAATAGTATGAAATGATAACCTGTACTATTCAGTAAAGTGTAATCTTAACTTTACATTACAGGCCAGGCCTGTTTTGTAATTACAGAATGACTGAGTGAGTGAGTCCTTAACTCGTAATGGAAAATATCATTTAGGGACAAGTGGAATATTGAACTTTTAGGGGAAGTTGACCAAAAACAACTGAGGTAAAGACCTGGAGTGTGGATTTCTGTCCAAATGTCCCCTGAAATGGGCCTCTCAACAAGGCCACTCTCTCTGCCCTGCTTAAAGTCGTGCCGGAAAGTATGCAGACGTCTGTTTGCTCGACTTTTTCACCAACCTAAATCCTGGCTGTGCCCCAGAAAAAAAGTGAATGCTTAAATTGTTTTGTCAAGGATGCCCAAGGTAGTAGGATTGTTTCTCCAGGTAAGTGAGAGGAAATTTGAGGAAGTTTGAGATGGTGTGCAGAAGGAGAGAATGTTTTTGCAAGAAGATTTTGTGCAAATCGTTTCATTAAAAGTTTCGAAAGCAGTTTAAATAAAAATGTATTGGACAGCCATCATAACAGTTTATGCACTGCATATGTGGAGGATTTGTTTTTGGGTTGTTTTTTTCATTAGGCTCCTGTACTGGACATGAATAAAAAAAAGACAATATTGAGATTTTAGGCTAAAGAAAACTCTAAACAGAAAAGCTCCCGACTGATATTTATGGTATGACATAGAAAACAACTTATTTTTGAGGCTTGAATGTTGAACATTATGCATCGGTCTTTGAAATCAGATCGGATACTGTGGACTGATGATTAATGGCTCATCAAAGATTTCAGCATGGTAGCTAGAAGACAAATAATTATTTTCATGTATCATGTGGAGACAGTGTCATCCATGAAGGGATCAGCTCCATTTTATATTCATATTGTTAGGACAAAATGGCTGTGTGACTGTTCCAGTCCCGTTTACAGGGATATTTCTTATAAGAAAAGCCTAGTGTCTGTATATTGTCCTTCCATTAGTCCAATCAGTTCAATCACACGGCTGTGTGGATTTGCCTGCCGTCCACTAAAGACTCGGGGGCTTGTTGTGAAATGTTTTCATGTAGCTGTTTGGAACTTCCTCATTTCTTCCAGTAGGTGTCGCTGTACGTTTACGCCGCTCCCCCCCTGCTTGCCGTGTCGCCCTTCGGCCGCTGGGTGGCGCCGTTTCCCCGTCCAACCTCCGGTTAGCACGGCGGCGGTGCGGTGGCAGAAGGCAGCGTCAGCTGGTGGAGAGGGCAGATCAACTGGTAATCGCTGCCATGGTTGTATCGACGGGAAGCTGAACGGCAGCGCTTCTTTCTTTTTTGGTCAGGAGAGAAACTTTGAGGCGTGAGACGAAGCCATGTTGCTGAACGAGGCAGCCTCGCGGACATAAGCGACGACGCGGAGAAAAAAAAAAAGTATCGACCGCACAGAAACCACAAAGAAGAAGCTGTTGGGGCTTTTTTTTTTTCTTCACGCGCGGAGGGAAAGACGGCATCCGGCCTGAGAAGAAGCTCCGAGGTCGGGGACTCCGGTCGGAGCAGCGTTAATCGCTTCTGGTGAGACTCATGTGCCATTTTTCACGGCGTGCCCATTTTTGGTGAATTTACAACGCTAAAACGACGCCTTAAGCTCAAGTTGGAGCCGCTCGTACCAAACAAAACCTCTTCAACAGCCCGCTTGTAGTCGAACAAAACAATGTAGCAACGTTACTCCTCTCAGTTTCTATCCACTCCTTAACGAGTGAACGCATTTTACTTTAAAAAAAACAACACACCTTAGGCTTTAACCCCGAGCCGCTAAACGACTTCACAACTAAGTTCAACGGCGCGAGCCAGCCCCGTCTTTTCGACGAGTTGACGTTTAAACGTTCCATATCCAGCTTTGTTGTTTTCTACCACCGAAACAGTGTGCGGGGTGTCTGTCATTGAATACGAACGCGGCCGGGGTTGTAAAAAGGGAGGGCCGGGCCGCCCTGCGTGGATCACCTTACACAGCTGCTACCAAAACACGCAGTGACCCACATTGAAGAGGGGGTCCGGTCTTTCTGGCGTACGGCTTTCGTGGGTCGCGAGCCGGAGCCTCGCGCGCACCGTCCCCAGCCCGCGAGCTCGCTCACGGCCAGCACGGCTCTGTGACGGCCCGGGGTCCAGCACGGGAAACGCTGAGAGGAAGACCCCTGCTGCGGCCGTGAAGCCCACCATATGCTAACCAGTTCCTCTACTCGCGTAAGCTTCAACATTAAGGGCTTTATCAGGGTGTCACCCCCCCCCCCTTGATGAGGACCTGCAATTAAGAGTAAAAGCATCCGGGATTTGAAGCGGTTACGTTCTTAGTCCGAGCACCTAAAGAAATGTTTACCCCAGCACTATTTTATAGATTTAGTTGACATGCACTCAGTTATCAGTTTTTAGATAGCTACATTGCATACCAGTAGCTTTCGGACAGATAATGATGTCACATAAAAAAAGAAGAAGAAAAGGTTAGATATTTTGGTTTTATTTACTTTTTTAAATTCTAGAATTGAATTCTGTCAGTTTCCTTATCCTGAGGTGTTCGAGCTTGTGTCAGATCCTGATTAATAGAGATTGTATAAATAAAATACTGTGTCCATAAGCACAGTTAACTACAACCTTCAAAGTGATCGTAAAAGTCAGTTAACATTCCTCTACAGCATTTTGTATCTAAGCTGTGCACAACCGAGGTGATTGTAGTATTTACGATGCTGCACAGCACACTGCAGCTTTGGCTGAATGCATGTAAATATTTGAAGAGAAAAAAGAATGGGCATTTTATTCTTTTTTTTTTTTTACCTCTAAACTTGCTCAGAAAATTGCATTTACAACATCGTGCATAGGCAGTCCAATTTTCCATCCGAGCTGACACTTATAAACTCATTTACTCACATGTATCGCATTCCTTGGAGCAAAAACAAATTGGATTAACATTGACATATTTAGATTGACTTTGTTAACCTCACTTAAAAGATAACCCGAAAAAGTTGCAAAAAGTATGTTTCCTTTCAAAACACAAAGTCTGGCAAGTCCTCGTTTCAGCTTTGATCAAGGTACGTACAGTTTTATTCCAATGCAAGTGGGCTGAGTCAGCCGTCGTTTGTATAAACTTATTATCGAGATGAAACTTCGCCAGTTGATATATAGTCAGTCACCACTTGCACAGCGTGATAACTGTGTCCCAGTAGCAAAAACACTTCTTGTTATGGGACAGTGATAGTCCAGGACTCTTTCATTTATACAGAACCAACCTTTCTTCAGTCGGAGCTTTAAGACAATTCTCTGTTTGGTTTCCTAAAGTAGGGGCGAGATCGAAACAACTTAAAACAACAGTAGAAAACACTGAATGAATTTTTTTTATGGTGTTGTTTTCTTGGTGGCTGAATGAAAGAGCTGTGAAAGTGTTTTCTCGTCTCGTTTCCTCTGAGCAGGTTTCAGCCCCCAGCTTTTGTGCTGGGCCGTGTAATTCTTGTGGGCCTCTACTGGGCCCATGAATCGCCGGGCGCCATTTTTGGGTTTGGTACCTGCGGGAGGGAGCTGCTGGAGGACTGTGTGCCGGCGTGTGTTGGTTGGACGTGGGGTCGTTCCCTTGGTGAAAGCCTTGGGGATGGCGGCGGCAGAGTAACCTGACCCGTTGTGAAACAGCTGTAGCAACGCTAGTGCTGATCCCCCCCCCACCCATCCTCCCCTCCGAGTTCCACAGCAGATCAAATGATGGTCCAGTATGTGAATGGGTGTGTGAGCATGCACACAAGGTTGGGTTGGACTTCACTCTGGCCATAATTCATAAATATTTGTGGTGATTTTTATCCAAACAGAACACACAGACAACTTTGAGTTTGTCTGGGTGTTACTCGTGTCGCAGGGCCTGTTCAGATGTAAGTAACCCTCACCTCATCGTACAGAATGGGGTGAAGAGTTGGTTTAAGAGTTGGTTTAGAGTTGGTTAGGAGAGAGTGAAGGTTAGGTTGCGGGTAAGTTGGGGTGTATGTCAGCCCTCTGAGATGATGGAATCAGAACTTGGTGAGATCATGTTAAAGCCGTGGGCTCAGACAGCTGGCTGAAGGTTAATGTGTCGCTGGGCCGTGGGGAACAGCTGCTATTTCGCCGGCACCTCGACTGTCTATAGATAGCTGTGAATACAAACTCTTCCTCTTTTCTCTGGTGCATTAACTCTGGCATTCTGCTCGGCTCTTTCACTTGCGGTTACCCCATGCGACAAATGCTGCTGCTTCCCCGCCCTGATTCCTTCTCTCTGCCTGATTCAACTGTCTCATCATGCTAGATTCTCCCACCCGGGCTGAGCCCATAGGAAGAGAAGCTCTGTGATTGCTACAGTAATAACTTGCCTGCTTCTGTGGTGTGTCAGACAGGTGACATCTGCTGAGGTTTTTTTTTTCTTCCCCGCGTCTTTCTTGGTACGAATCGTAGAGGGTGTCTGAACACTTGTCTGATCTTTATTTGGAGGCACAAATGAATTCAAACCGACACTGTTGAAGCTGTGCACATCTGAGATGCGTTTTTGACATGCTCCTAATTAAATTTGATCTGGTTTAATTAAAATCCATGTTTGATCTGTGTTCTTTTTTTATTTTTTAGGAATGGCTAAATTTAGGTCTTCCCTCATTCATTAAGCTCCAGCTCTAAGGTTTCTCTAATCAGATATGGCAAAAGTAGATCACTGATAAATAGTTAATGATGAATCCTGGTCTCTTTTAACACTCGTAGATTTTCAGAAGTGTGCCACGGTGATTTATGTTCTCCATAAAAGAGGAGAAACTACAGTTAACAGCTCATACATGTAGCTGCTCTGACAACTGAAGGGGCATTTATCAAGAATAAACCTCAGCAATGGGTTAGTTTGCAGCTATTTATTTCAAATATTAATTATTTTAAGGCTATTCACAAACAAATGGTTTGAACATCGTTTTTTAAACAAAAACGAGCAGCCCAATCCTTCAACAATCAGTTTACACATTATATCTTATTCTGGATTTATGTTAGCATTAAACAGATTAAGTCAAAGGAAATTGTTATGAAAGTAAATGTCATGCAGATGTAGCCTGGACACTTTTCACAACAATAAGCATCAGTGCCCGGTATGCAAGGCTCTCCAGAAATGCTGCAAAGACTTCTAACTGAGCTGTTTGTACTTGGGTTTGAATGCTGACGGTCTGATGGCATCTCCCTGCTATCTGCCCTCTCTTAAATAGGGCCCAGCCTGTTGTTCCCTTTTAACAGCTGCGAAGGAGCCGGCGCTGTGAGGATGAGTGCGAGCGGATGGGGAAGGGGAGGCTAATTGTCACTCACTGATGCTAATTGTCTGCTCACAAATGGGGACAGGTGACTGGAGTCGGGCTTAGATCAGACACTAGTCCACGCCAAAGCAATTAGCTCCATAATGAGCCAAGCGGAAGGCCTCAGTAATCACTCTGCTTCTAGTGCTTAATAAATGAAAGGTGTTAACGTCTCTGAACGTAGCGGCTAGTACACCCCTGAGATGGCTGCTATCAGAGAAATTGTCCAGGATATGATGTGTACTCCTGCTCATTATCCAAGTTCTCTGTACTGCAGTGGAGTTTAGCCCAAAACAGATTTGAAAAAAATCAGATAATCTTTTTTTTTTTTTAATTCAGGAACAGTGCCAACCACAAAATTAGATGTTTCTCAAAGAAATCAGATTTGGAAATGAAATGTTCCTGTGGGCTGACACATGTCTGCTGCCCGGCAGATGAAGCCCTGCTCTGAACCCAGCCGGGTTGACGGGGTTCATCCCTCACAAATCAGGCGGGTCTTTCATAGCTTTCATGAAACACTATCATGTGAGGCGTGTGTGGTGTTTCAACGCCTCCACCTTCGTTCAGAGGCCTGCCCTGATTTTCGAAGTCATTCTTTTGGGTTGTGCTGTTTTTCAGGACGAAGTTAGTCCCACTTGTATGTTTACTTCTGAAGAAGTAGTTCATGTTGTGTGAGCTCAACCCAGATAGCCCACATTTCTGCGCAAACTCAGTACAGCCAGAACAGCAACCGCACGAAATGTAGGGCAATTTTTAAATGTAAATGTTTCCCAATTGAGGGTTAGCCATAAATAAAAGACGCCTCTCTTGATTCAGCTTGATACAGCTTACGGTATATTTATCCAACAAGAGGTCCAAAATCGCCACATATTGGAGTTGCAGAAATGAAGGAATGAATGAAGAATTCAGCAGCTTTACGTCGTTGTGAATGTAGAATGAGAATAATTGTGCACTTTAGCTTTTAAAAACCTTTGCGGGTGACCCTCCTCCCATTAATAAATCAACAAAGCAATTAGGCCTGAATTTCTGAGCACATCCCTTAGCTAAAGCTGAACTTTTGCCCGGTTAAGTATGTGCTGGCAACCCGCTGTACCGAACCCGGTCATCTACTGTCTGTCTGCAGGCACATTTGGACCAAAATGAGAGCTTACAGGAGAGCCGCCCTGTCACTCAAGCTGCTGTAACCATGGCAGCAGCGTTAATCAGCCAGTGTTAAATCTTATTGCCTGTGAGATCTTTGGCCGTGCGTCACAGGCCTGGCCTCCTACGGCTGCGAGCTCTGGCCGAGGAGCCTGTCGTGTCCCTGCGTGTCTGTCTTTCCTTGTGTTCACCGCAGACAAAAACATCAGCGCTGACCTGTATTCACTCAGCGTTCAGCCCCGCAGACACGGGCCACACATGTGACATGCGTGATAGCAAAGTAAAGGGGACAAAGAACTGCAGAGAAGAGCCCCGAAATTTCCTGACACTTTGTGCAGATTGGACTGATTCTGCTGGTTGGAAATGTGCAGAGTGCTCTCTCACCCCGCTTGACATGCTCCGAGCTGCTCAGCACCACGCAGCCCCCCACTTTTACTCCGAACAATGCTGCCTTTATGTAAGCCCCCGTATAATGGAGTCAGCTCCTTCTCTCATGTCCTCATTGTCTTGGCCAGGTTGAGAAAAGGCTGCTCTTTACAAACCCGAGGCAGGGTTAATTCGTGAATCATGCCAACTGTCACGCGTGTTCTGAGAGGTTTTCTGTGAGGCGGCCCGGGGGGGGGGGGGTAGGTAGCTGTCCGGGGCGCTTGTTCTCCTGAAGGCGCTGAGGTCTGGAAGATCGCCGTACCCTGCAGGGGTCACGCTCAGGTTGCGACTTTGGTTTTCCTGTGTTCCGCGTGTGGCCCAGATAGGGGAGGCCACGTGGCTGTTGGTGTCGCAGAAATGCGACGGTTGCATAGGTCTCTGCGGCGGGTTCTCGTTGTAGCGCACTGCTCATCGCTTTGTGTTCACGGAACAGCCGCAGTGGGAAAAGGACCCGCACCATAGAGAGCCGAAGTCTGTTCTCTCTCCACTGCAGCATCTATAGTGCTGAGAGCTACCCCCCTCCCCTCTCTCCTCTGCTGTTTGGCTGCATGCGCCGCCACGCCGTCATCTGCTGTGTAGGTTGTTTGTAAAAGATGCCATACAAACACTCACCCAGTGAGGGGGATCACAGCAGTGGGGGTGAGGTCTTTATTGTGACACATAAGATGGATGCAATCGGAAAAATCAGCAGGCTCGCAGCTTCCTGCAGTGCTGGGCGTTTTCGACGTGGAAAAAGCAGCAGGGGGTTGCCGTGGCAACAAATCCCGAATCAGCTCAAGCGCCCGGACCCCTCGGTTCCACGAACCCCACCACCCTTCCCTCCCCCTCCTGCTAACTCCTGGCCGTCCCCCAGCGGGTCTCTAGCTCAGACTTCAGAGCAGCCCCCTTCTGGGAGTGGGGATAAAGCTCAGAGCAGGGATCATGTCCAAATGCCCCGCACTCGATCCCAGAGCAGGAACATGGGCCAGCACATATGGATGCACAGGAGAGGCTGAGCCCCCCCCCCCCCATCCTCCTTTTCAGCCTCTGCTGCTGCCATTCATTTTCCACTCAGAACTCCCCGAAAGCGATTCATCCGTGGTGTCTGGGATCATTCATAAGAGTCTTTCTCTCTCTCTCTCTCTCTCTCTCTCTCTTCTGCATTCAAAAATTATCCAAATGAGACAGATCAAAAGCCACCAGAGAAAAAGGCCTCTCAGTTTATCCTTCTTTGGTGACACATAATCCTGATTTGAGCTTATCTCATTGATTGTAAACACAACAAAAGACCTTGGCTGAAGAATATCTGAATGACAAATAAGTGCAGAGGGTAGCCCGCATTAACCTGTCAGTTTTCACATGATGTTTGTTCCTACTGGAACAGTACAAAGGGAAAATTCTGCATGTGTTGTTCTGCCAAAGCAACGAGATGTGCAGCATACGAATGGGAAGATGGAACCAACAAAATAAGAGATGCTTTGCTCCTCTTTCCTTCCTCGAGTTGCTCACAAAACCGGGGCTTTATCGGGTAAGTTGACCTAGTTTTTTTTCTATTCAAAGAATCAGAGTTATGAGTGTGCTCCCCTCTTCCGGTTGCCTGTCACAGGCTGTGTGAGAAAAGGTAACGCACTGAGCTGCTGAGATGACGGAACGCCCGCCTGTGCTGGAGCTGACGTGTCATGGGCCAGAGCTGACCGATTTGAAGCTGTTACGACAGCAGAGTCAGGTTCTTCTCCCTCATCCCAGCTCCTGGAAAATTGGATTAATTGTGTTTTGACACAGAGATGGGAAATCGGAGTGAATGTTGGCAAAGAGAAATGCGAGACGAGATGAGTTTTTAAGGTTGTCGGAGCTATGTTTCATTGGGAGATAATTCCAAACAGAGTGAGAAGAGGCTACTGTTGCGCCATGAATTCTTCATGGAGCTGTTCATCTCGATCAGTCAACACATACACAGTTGAAGTGAGTTCCACTTCCAGCTCCATCAGGATTTTATTAGAGCAAGCCGTCAGTTTGGAGATACTTTAAAGGACATGAGGTGTCGACGGGCTGATTTTTAATCTGAATGTCCCCTTTGTTCTGAAACCTTTTGAGAAAATAAACAGTAAAATGTGTGAATCCCAGCAGCTTTACTGGGAGGTCAGCTGCAAAGAATACGCATTTCTTGGGTTCATGCTAAAAGATGGAAGATTAAAGGCATCCATCTGCATCGTTTATGCACACGTAGCTTCAATTTATGGCCTAAACTGGGCCTGCCCACCTGTTGGCCGCAAAACCAAATAATTAATGAACTGTTGAATTAAATATTGCCTTTTTCTGTTTTTTTATGAGGTAAACTTGTGGATTTCTCTTCACTCATGAAGCAAAACTGAATAAAAGGCACAAAAACACTTGATGTAAGTCAGATGTGTTTCCACACACTACTATTAAGAGAATAAAAGAGCAGAGGCCCACATTGTAGCTCACTGTGGTGGGCTTCTGTGGTTGAAACTGGGGTGAAGCAGCTGCCCCACAGACTTTGCCTGGAAGTGAAGGGGCTCCTTCGTTGGAATTGTTCCAGTCGCTGGGAATATGGGTAGATTTTATGGTATCTGGTAAAAACGCTGGTCGGTAACGTCAGCTTGTAGTTTGTCACTTCAGCTCAGAAACAGCTGCTGAGTCATGTCATTTTAATCCTTACCAGGTTAGTTGTGAATCATAGTGTCCACCACCCCCCGCACTCTTTATGTGCACAGCCTTTTAAACAGGAAAAACCGCCTCAAACAAAAGCATGAGTGGATATCACAATCGCATCTTTGGACAGAATTCAAGTTGGGAGCGGGATTTGACGGGGAAAAAAAGCTACTACAGTTTAGGGTTTTGACAGGCATGGAAGCCTCGGGGGTGTTTAATGCTCATGTGTTTTCATGTCTGACTTTACTCATCAGCACCGCAGACAGACACATGTCCAGATCTGCAGAAGGAGCCGAGTAAGGCTGGCGTCACCGGGAGAGGCCGCTTCTAAACAAATACCTGAAGATCTGGGAACACGCCCCCCCCCCCATCCTCACATGCACCATGTCTTTGGTCCTCCAACCTGCAGCCAGCCGCTCTCACGCGCTGTAAACGTGGCTGGAATGTGTGATGTGGACCCGATGTGGCACGGGCTAGTCCCACACCATTCAGCACCTAATCCTCCCGCTTTAGGGTTAGCTTTTACAGTCCATAAGAATCTCTCACAGACCTGTCATGCATCCCCAGCGGGGGGAATGTAAAATGACACGCTGAGTCACATTTAACGTCCGAGTGTCAACTGTTCGCTTTTTCTGTGCCGCACATGGTCGAATTCCTGGTGATCTAAGCGTGTCTTTGCTCTTGATGGAGGATCGTGAAACATGTTGCCGGGTGGGTGTGGCGTTTCCAGTTAAAGCGATCACATCACAAACGGTGAAAATGTCAGCCTTCAGCCCGTCCTCTTAGAAATCAAAAGGGATTTGTCTTCCTCAGGCCTCCCCTTCCTGAGAGCTCCATGGAGAAGATGAAGCGCTTCAAGCGGCGCCTGTCCCAGACGCTGCGAGGCAGCCACACCATCGACGAGTCCCTGTCGGAGCTGGCCGAGCAGATGACTTTAGAGGAGAACGGCCTCAAGGATTGCGGTGAGCTTCCTTAGCTGTTTGTAAATTTTTGATTGCTTTCTAATGATTTGGTGTTTTTTTGCGTAACATGTTTTTATGGGGTGATTAAGTGCTGTTCCAGTCACGGGCTTATCTCCCTAAGGAGATGCCAACCTTGTTGCTTCACTGGCCGTCTTTTACATGCAAAGCCAAAAAACAGTTTGTTGTATGTGTTTCGCTTTGCGCTATCTATTAAAGAGTCTTAATATGGGGGTGATTTCAACATGAGGTTTTGAGAGATTTTTGCATTAACTCGATTAAGCGACTTTATTTGTGAGGTATTTAATGAACCTTGGATTAGCTTAAGCTAAACCAACAGTCTGTAATTAAGCCATTGTCAGTCTGTAGGTTTCCTATTGAAATGCCTGCATCATAGTATTGACTGATGTTTTATAAGTGCTACATTTTTATTTATAGTGACCCATACTGTGGCAGGGACCGGCTGCGAGCTCCTATAAAGCTGGCACCATGTAACCAATCACAAATATGTATGCAGAGCATCATGTTTCCTAAGATAAAGTGACTTAAATCCAGAGCAAAAACTTTGGAACCTACATCTGTATAGTAGGCCATCAGTGAAACAGTTGCTGCTGCCAAAGCCAGTAGTCAGGAAGGAAGGCTGAGAATGATTTGTTTAGTGGGCGGTCTCTTATCTTGAGCATAACCTGTTCCGGAGCAGGTTAGGTTTGCGGCATGCATTTCCCAGACAAGAAATGAATCACCTTTTCAATGCTAAAAACAACAGGGTGAAATCTGACTTCACCTTTCTATGATGAAATGTGCATAACAGAAAAGAGTTTAGCTACAGGCTGAATCTGGTCTGTATATCTGAGTCCTTTCATATTTGTAGCAAGAGAGCTGTAAGTAATGTTAATTCAGAGTCATTGAAAGTTTAAGGAGGAATGTTTAGCAGAGTGAGAATCCAGGTCACATGTTGCTACAAAGTGTTTGAAAAGAAAAAGATAACGCAGTGATTTAATTCAGTACTCGGAACACCACCTGACTGCAATGGTTATCTGGTGAATGCTCTCATTTCAGTCCTCATACACAACCTGGAAGCTAAATGAGTTTGAGCCAAGTGTAAAGTTCAGTGGAGCCTAAAATTAGCGGTGATTGAAGGCTTTGGATCAAAATCCACCAACTACTTCAACGTCAGCTGTTTAAAAAGTGAGATGAATTCAACACACATGGTCCCATCTGTGTGGTGACTGTTGCTCCCTCTTTCTATGAGCACAGACACGCTCTGCTTTCTCTAACAGACTCTAATTGTTTATTGTTCATTTACTGAAGGTTGTGCCCTTCCAGGCATCAAGGAAAAGCAGGCTGATGCAGTAGCCTATCTCTAGTGATATTCACAAAACCTGTAGGGACAGAGGGAGGGGGGGCCTCTGTGTGCTACCACGCCGTTGCCATGGTGCTCAGGGTCTGGAAACATTCTAGAGTTTCCATGACATTGCCACGGCGACTTGGATGACTTAGTGAAACCAGCTTCGTACTGTTCTTCATTCTCTATTTCTTGTCTCTTTTTTGTGCGTCTGTCTCCGCTCTTCTTCTGCCTTAGGCTGGAGGACTTACCTCATCTCTCCCCTTTTACATCATCCTCATTTTCCCCCTTCTACTGTCAGTTAAGCCCCCCCCCCATATCCCCCTCTGTGCTCCCACCACTTTCTGAGAACTAACTAGGCTTTGTGAAGAGCTTTTTGTGTAGTGATTAACAACAAGTTTGGCCAGAGCATTCTGTGCTTCATGAGTTGGAACGCAGAATCACGGTGTGTGTGTGTGTGTGTGAGTGTGTGTGTGTGAGAGAGAGAGTGAGAGATGGAGAGAGTAAGCGACAGAGACAGGTCCTGGTTTTAGCAGCTCATGTAACAGTAAATAGAAAGGAAGCATAATGGAGTAGCCAGATGAGATTTGACCTGAGCTGTGCGACTGAGGGAAGCGTCCTGGTCCTGATCTGATTATGTAACACCCATAACTTGGGCCAGCCACAGCAGCAGCTGCACAGAGATAAGAGAGAGCTGGCATGCACATGGTTTTGTATTTTTGTTGTATTTTTTTTTAATTCCAGGAAATCATTGACATACATTGTGGAAAGCTGATGTATTTGTCTGTTCGGCAAAGTTACCAGAAAGGAGGACACAAAGTGGGTTGCATTACTGAACAGGACTTTCTACCCTGCCAGCTTTCCTGCTCCATCTCTGATGGCTCATTAACAAGCTTTAGCAGAATCTAATGGCAGGCTGATGAGTTGAGCCATTCATTGGATTCGGATGTGTTGGAGAAAGGACCAATCCAAAGCATGCAGGGAACTGGGTCAAGGACCCATATATTCATTTAGAAAAATAAAAAGACCTGAATATACACCAGCATGAAAAGGCAGTCTGCATCAAGAGGGCTTAAAGTCAGCATTAGGATTACTATCGGGAAAATTCACTGAGGATCAGCTCACCCTTGAAACCTCACAAATCAGTCAATCATAAATGCATAAAACCATCTTTCTCTCTGACCCCAGAGACATTAATCTTCTTAATCTCTAACCCTTTTCCCCCTCTAAACATCCTCTGAGACTGCTGCCTGATGTGGATCCTTTACATCTCTGTCCCACTCTGTCCTTCTGAGCTTGGCTTCTTTGGGGCTCCGTTTCCTCCCCCAGCTGAGAGTCTGTTTCTCTATGGGCTGCCGTACGTAACGCGTCTCTCACCCCTGCTGGCCGTGTTCTGGCCCTCAGACAAATGATCTCATGTGTGCCCGACAGAACCGTGTGTAATTCCAAGCCGTACAACTGAGAATAGAAGTAATTTGTTCAATACTTAGGCTTCTCTGGGACAAATAACACCTCACACCCCCAGATTCAGCAGGAGGCTGTAGGAATCACGTGATGTCATAGAAAAAAACAGGCTGAATAGGACGACATATTTGATGAACATTTTTACCTTGGAGTAGTTTCACTTTTAACCATCTGTTTCTTCCTTTCTTCCTTTATGGTCTGTTCTTTATTCTCACCTCATGGACCTGTTTGTGTTGCTGCTTGTTCAGCATGCTGACAAAATCACAGTTTTGAACAAGTATTGCATCCAAATCTTTATAGGATTATGATTTAAATCCAGCCTCTTATGTAACTCCGATTATTTAATGCAGTCTGGTGTTTTCAGCACACGGTGACGTATATGTGAGCGTATCACAGAGCACGCCACTCATTACCTCGCAAATGCACCTCATGTGCTCATTCCCTGCCAGTTACTGTGGAAGATTTTATTAGATGCCTGCGGTATGTTTCTGAAACATGGAGTAGTCTGACTTTTCTTAGGTTAAAATAGGAAACCACTACTGACTATGGTACTGCACTTCAACTCAGCGTTATCATTTTCTGCTGAATCTAAGACCCAAACCCGCTTGTTAATTGAGAAGAAAATGTGTAAACCTGACATAAGGTCGTAGGTTGTTTATCTTCATCAGACTCTAACGTGTGGGATTTGTTTACCATATGTTCATTTTCGAAATGGAAAGAAATAAGCTGATGGAACACGGTTGCCCTTTTGCGGTGTGTCAGTGGGTTTCAGTTTTTGTCCTAACGTGGTGCTTAGATGTGATCTACACGTTTTCTTTCATTCGCTAAGCCCGCCGCAGAGCTCTGCACGCCCACGCTCAAAGACTGTACTTGTCATACTCGTTGACAAAGTCGTCTCTTCTCCCACAGAGCCCATAGTGAGGAACGGCCGGCCTCCGTCAGCCCACAGCGTCCACTCTTTTCTTCACCAGTACTCGGGCTCCTTCAAAAAGGCACCAATTCGCCGGCCTCAGAGCGTCATCGGAGGCGGACTCAGCTCTCTCATGGCCATGCCTCGCAACAGCAGTCGCCTCGGTAAGACTCAGACGCCGGGTTGTTATTCTCTTTCCCCCACAATGCAGAAAGGATGCCTGAAATTTCTGTTGATGGACTTATTTGTTACGGCCTCCTGACATGATATCACCACATGATGGAAAAGCACTATTTGGAGTTTGGACTGTTGTTCATGACACACTTCTTGAATTAGTCTATTTCTGTAACATGAATAAAGTCCTTGCACGATATGGAAATGTGCACTTTTATATGTATGAAACCCGAGTTTGCTCAGCCAGAGACAAATTAACTTTGATGCATGACTTTTTTTCCCTCATAAAGCCCAATGACACAGGCGGACCAAAAGTCCATCTGTCAGATGTACTAAACTTTATTTATTTTCCCAGTTTTGTCGGCCTAAATAAAAACAGGGAAGTGACCAATAGGATGTTATCTCTTTCTTCTCTGTTAAGTCATAATGTGGTATTAATCTAATAATGAAACCCCATCTTTCATCCTGGCTTTCCTCTGGCTCTACTCTTTCTCCTCCCAGATATCGTCCATGAGAACATGAAAATGGGGTCCGACGGGGAGAGTGACCAGGCATCGGGGACGTCCTCTGATGAGGTGCAGTCGCCCACGGGTGTTTGTCTGAGGAACAGAGGGAACCGACGCATCTCCGCCGAGGTGAGCTCATCTCTGTGAAACGTTATCAGCATCCCTAAAGCAGCCTCTGCTTTTTAAAGCCGGGATCTGCTGTTGGACGTGAGTCACGTACCACGTCCGCAGGCTGTGACGCGCAAATGTGTTCCAACGCATTAACGCATCTTGGTTTGATTCTTCCTGAGTCACTCGCTCTTTGTGAACGAACACATGTTTGCACGAATTCACTCAAAGTACCCCGAACATCTCATTAAAGCCTCTCCAACAGGAAGCGCGTGAGCAACCAAACGCTGTAACTAAGCGTGAGCGAGATCTGGACTGGCACAAGTCCTCACATAATCTGTGCAGACGCTCCCACACAAAAATGTTTCTGCTGTCTGTTTTTCTGAACAGTTATTTTACAGTCATTTATGACCTACATATATCTCTGTTTCTCTCTCTCTCACATACACACATGGACACATTCCCTGGCAGCCTCATTTTCTCAATTAGAAAGAATTTTAGATATGCAAGCAACTGAGTGAAGAGTTGTTTTAGCCCATTTCAATTCCATTAAAGCTTCTCGTTCCTGAAAAAACTCTGCACAAAGGATGAGTGAAAGATATGCATTCTTAAAATAAACCCGGAGATATTCAAGATACATTTGACAAGAATAAAGTTGACTAATTATTCCACCTATTCTAATGCCTATAAATGGAAAAAACGAGACTGCAATCAAAGCTCTGACAAAAACGATATCAACCGAATAAAGTGAAGTTTTCTTTTTTTGTTGTTGGCATGATTTGAACATCAAATAACTTTTTAATGAGCCAAGTCACACAGAAAGGTATTTTTAGACACAAGCCTTCACAATCGCGTAGGTTCGAGTTTGACCTAAGAAGAGGGAGCACATTATTAACTGTAATTGTCTGGCAGCAGTTTGAGTCAGACTTTTACAGTCATATGCAACTATGAAACAGTGGAAGCCCAATTCACTGTTGCGACACCAGGGATTTTTTTAATACACCCCGGACTCAACTTTACCTCATCATTGGTTAAAAAAGGATCATGCCTTCAGTTGTGTTTCTCCATATGGTTTGACATGTTTTCTTTGTATTGTAACAGTGAGAAACATTCAAACAGGATATATGACTTATACTTGAGGATCTTCAGCAGATGTCTTTATCAAACGACATCTTGTATACAATGGCTTTTACAACAAACCAAAGAATTGGTGGCTTGAATCCATCTGACACCTCAAAAGCCGGTGCGGTGCTTAAGCTCACGTGCACCCGTGTGTGGTGAACGCCACAGGCCATGGTGGACTAATTGCTGTTAAGAGGATTGAAGGGATGCATGCCTGACATACATCAGCGGTCGGCACAACTCCTGGCCCACTTTCACCATGAAAGTGGCAGAGACAAAAGCAGTGACAGCTCCCACGTTTGCATGCTTCCGAGTTCAGCATCGTCAGCCACAGTGGAAAGGAAGAAATGTGTTTATTTTAGTCTTTTAACCTGTTTGATGTACCTGTGCTGCATGCTACCTACTGGATGATACTAGTAAAACAGCTTTTGATAAAAAACTGCTGAAAAAACACATTCCTCTCCTGCACACGGGTTGCCCCGACTGCATAACAGCTGGGAACTTGTGAGCAGAGTGCAGCATCCGCACAGATGAACCAAGAAAGAGAGTAAGAGAGAAAAAAGGAGGGGAAAAAACAACCCTCAGAAAGTAGTTAGGCGGTGTTCTCCATTTTGGTTTCCCACACACAGACACATCACCTCTTGCTGTTCTCAGTGTGTGTGAGCAGTGTACTTCACACTTCCTGTGACTGTTTCACAAGCTGCAAGAAAGTTGATTTGGACAGAGGCAGTTAAATAAGAGTCACCACACACTCTGCGCCGCTGGTGTGAGTGGAAGCAGTGTTGTTGATCAAGTGATCCAACAGTGAAACCATTGTACTGCCTTCCCTCTTTGTCTTCTTTGTGCTGCTGTGAGGTTAAAAGAAGGAAGAGCGGAGAAAGAACACCACCATCCCTCTGTGTGGGCAGTGAGCGGGTCGGCCGCCCCTCGCTGCCGGAGACGCAGTGGCCGTATTGGAATTACATCATAAGGATTACTGTAATACGGTCCAGATGGCCCCCCGCTGTAGCAGATTAAAAGAATTTGATTGGACGACGGTAGGAGGGTGGGATGGGAGCAAAGGTCAGGTGATGGATGGCATGTTTTGCTCTGAGGACAAATCGTGAATCCTGGCCGTGCGCGGAGAATCCACAGGGCAGCAGAGATAAATGTGACGGTTTAAAGCGATGCCTGAGGTCACTGGGCATCTGCTACGTTTATGGTGGCAATCAGAGATTTTGCTCTGAACTCTTGATTTATATGCCATCAGTCAACAATTCGATCACGTGGAGGTGGAAAAGGCCAATAATAAGCATGTGTCTAATTAAGAGAGCAGGATTCTAACTCATCTGTTGGTTTTGACCTACATTTGTAGGATTTTAAAATGTATTTTCCTTTTAAATTCATTCGCTGTCACATCTGGCAGAGTCTCATCTCATACCGGTAGCCTCACTCTGCAAGCTGTGCCTTTCTAAAGGTGTAGGCTGTAAACAAGTACACAGGCCAAAAGCTGAGTCTCAGTTACCATCCCTCCATTTCCAATACCGCTTATTCCCAATGGGGTTGCAGGGGGGCTGGAGCTTATCCCCCCGGGTACTTGAACCCTCTCGCTGTGAGGGGACAGTGCTAACCAACACACCAGCGTGCCGCTCCAGTCCGCCACATCGGACTGAAAGGCTGAAGCTCAGCCGATCTGTCTGGAATACAGCTGCCTCCAGCCAGCCACTGAGCAAATGTAGAAAAAATAAAGTTTAAAGTTGCATATGTGTGTGTATTAGTGGTGGGAGGAGGGGTGCAGAAGTCCAGTGTTGCCTCAGACGGAGTGGAAGTAGAGTTAAAGCAGCAAGAGGGGCCGGATTAACTGTTATCTCAACAAATGAAGAAAGTACATGATGGGAAGAATCCAGATGTCATGTTGTGTGAGTTTTATGTAACAAGTTATTAGGATCAAGGTTGAGTGATTTGATGCTGCGGAAAAGACTTTACCCTGAGTTCTTAAAGAGCTGGATAGGCCCTGTTTTGTTTTTTTTCTTTTCGCAAAATAAACACGTGTATAGAAGCGTGCATCTCTGTTTGGGTTTCTTAAGTTTTCCTGTTGATCATCTATTTTTGTTTAGAGTTTGCCCTATTTGCTCGGGGCGTGATGCAGTTCAGACCGTTTATTGAACTGTGTGTCATGTCTGTGTCCGTTTGTTTTTGTGTGCATTTGCAGGACTTGAACAAACGCTTGTCCCTCCCGGCCGACATTCGAATACCCGACGGGTACCTGGAGAAGCTGCAGCTGAGCAGCCCCCCCTTCGACCAGCCGCTGAGCAGGCGCTCCCGCAGAGCATCGCTGGTGAGGAAGAGCAGGGGAAAATGAGTGTGATATTGGGATTTAAATGAGTGAAGTTGGGGAGAGAGGGAGAGCGAAGGGGGGGGCGAAAAATTATCAGATTTTATGAGTGTGGAGTTTAAAAAAAGAAAGAAAAGAAAATGGACACAAGTTCCACAAACTGACACAAATTGTAACAATGCTGATAAGAAAATGTTTATTTTTAGTGTCTGTCAAGTTGAAACAATTTTTTAGATGATTCCTTTTTTAAGCCTCTGCTGATTTGATTGAACTTGAACTGAAGTCACAAAGTTTTTCATTTTAAACCAAAGTAGACAAACTGAAAATAACTTTAAGAAGCACAGATGGCATCTTCTGTCGAGGTTAATGACATTTCATGATCCGACTAGGGCTTATTTTTGCACTAAAAATGGTAAAAAAGCATGGTTTTGGACTCACTCATACGTAGATCCTTCTCTATGACTTCTGGGGAAATGGGGAAATCCCATAGGATGCTGCCAGGTACAGCTTTTACTAAAGAACGTTAGAATATGTCAAGTGAAGTTTGCCCAGGTAAATGGGCACATCTGATAACTACAGATGGAGCCCAGTGTGTTTAGAGCTGCTTCCTTCAGGATGATGTCAGTGAAGCACTGAGGAGGGAGTGTAATGGTAAGGGGACACATGATTACATAGAATTAATCATCAGCATATGCAAATCATACAAAAAACACCCAAAACAAACTATAGGATTTCTCATAATCTTGGGAGGTTCAGAGAATGAAAATTGTCCTAGGGGAAAAGTTCAGTATTTGCAGACGGCTATGATCTGGTAAAGTCTGAAGTCTGTCATCAATCCAGTCAGAAGTGTTTTAAAGAGAGAAAAGGAGGCAGGTGAGATGGAAGCAGGAACAGAGGAGGAATCAGAGACAGGTTGCAGACTGGTGAAGAGAGCTTTCACAGGGAATGTTTTAAGTGCAGCTCCAATCAGAAAGAAGGAACCCCCGCTTCGCCCTGAGACCGTCTGAGCTCCTCTTTTCTTATCATTATGTGTTTGCATTTCACCCTGGTTTTCACTTCTCAAGCTGGCCCAGTAATTGGGTTGCGGTTTTACTTTGAATATGCATCTGTTAAAAGCAGAACTGAGGAATAGCATGGCCTCACCCAGTCCCTCATTTCAATACATGCCCTCCTGCATAGTTGTTTACGGAGTTCACGTGTTTGACACGCTGACCTTTCAGCCCAGCAGGCATTGATCAAGCTCCTCCAATTTTTCTGCTGCTGTTTTGTTAGATTGGGACTGGTGTGATTTTCCACAGCACAGCATGAATAAAAGCATAGGATAAGGTCCTTTTTTCTCCTCAGTAATAGACAAAATGGCCCACTGTCCTTTCTCAGTGGTGTGTAAGGCTCACTCTGAGAGGGAAGTTTGCTATCTCTCCCATAAACAAGCACATTGTCGAAGCCAAAAGGCAACAGTCCCTTGTCGCAACAGATTAAGTAGGATTTTTGGTTTGGTATTTGACCTCTTTAAGTCCCCCTCCTCTGATGCCACACGGCTGTCACGATCATTTGCCGTCATGTCTGTAAGCTTGCCACTGCCAATAAAGATGCCACCCACATTAATGCTGTTTGTCCTTTTGCTCTCCTCCAGTCAGAAATTGGATTTGGGAAGCTGGAGACGTACATCAAACTGGACAAACTGGGGGAGGTATGCAAAACCCTCAGCCGTGCCTCCCTTTCTCACATCTCCCAGGTGCAGATGTTTTTTTTTCTGGTGTGGTGACATTTTTCTTCCCCCCGCCTGGTCTATAGGGCACGTACGCAACGGTTTATAAGGGGAGGAGCAAGCTGACGGACAATCTTGTGGCGCTGAAGGAGATCAGACTTGAACATGAGGAGGGGGCACCATGCACAGCTATCCGAGAAGGTAAAAAGCTTCACGATCCAGCAGTTGGTTGCAAGCAGCTAGTGAACCTCCCCCACGTTCTGAGAAGGATGTGTAATGTGGTGTAACGAAAGTGAAGTGGAGGTGTTTTTTTTTTTTTGGCACTTTTGTTAGGTTAGTGTGACCTTAGAAAGAGAATGAAACTTTTAACAAAGTTTAACAGCATTACATCTGTGTCCCAGTTTCGTTCTTCTGTTTTTTAATTTTACTCTGTTGTTGTTCTCAGTGTCTCTGCTGAAGGACCTAAAACACGCCAACATCGTGACGCTGCATGACATCGTCCACACAGACAAGTCGCTCACACTGGTTTTTGAATACCTGGTGAGATCAGCTCCAGTCACACTGTAGTTTTTTCTCTCCGGGAATGCTAACAAATGAAAGTGTTTCACGTCATTGTTGTTCACCATCCTCTGCAGAGCTGAGGCTGTTTACCAGCAGATGCGGTTTCTGGGATTGTTGCCTCACTAATGCACTCTCTCTCTCTCTCTTTCTCTCTCTCATATCCAGGACAAAGACCTTAAGCAGTACATGGATGACTGTGGGAACATCCTGAGCATGCAGAATGTCAAGGTGAGCTTGAGCAGGTGGCCTGTTGGCCCAGCCACCTTCAGCTGTCAAGGCTTTTTGGATGCAAGTGTCAGGGCTTGGAGCACTGTTTGTGCGCCCCCTGGTGGTGGTTTTTCCGACCCTAAAAGTATAAGTGAAATACGGAGGGAATCTGCAAAGGCTTTAAATGACCATAAGCAGCAACCTACAATGCATTGTAGTGCACTTGAACGGAATATTTAGGAAAATTGGCTTACTTAAGTACTGTTAAGTTTAGCAAAAGTATATTTGAAAATACATATTTTTTCTTTTCAACATTTTTTTTTTTCTCTAGATTTTTTTGTTCCAGATCCTGCGAGGCTTGGCCTACTGTCACCGGCGGAAAGTTCTCCACAGGGACCTGAAGCCCCAAAACCTGCTCATTAATGACAGAGGGGAGCTCAAGCTGGCTGACTTTGGTAATTAACTTATTATGCATAGTGTGTTTTTCTTGAAGATTTCGCGAGTTTAAATAAACCCCCTAAGAATTTCACGTGAACCTTCCTAATGTGTTTGCTTGGTCTCTTTGTTTTTTTTTAAATTGATTTATTTATTTTTTGGTATCTGCTCCACAGGCCTGGCAAGAGCAAAGTCGGTGCCCACAAAAACCTACTCGAACGAGGTGGTAACGCTTTGGTATCGGCCTCCCGACGTGCTCCTGGGCTCGTCCGAGTACTCCACACAGATAGACATGTGGTGAGTGGGCCTCCCTCAGAGTAACAGTTATAAATCTTCAAAGCGGAGGTGCAGACAGATATGACCCTCAAAAAGAATTATCCCTTTTCTTTATTTCACACATTATCTTTGTTAGACCATTGTAGTGGAATAAGCACTGATGTTTCAGGACTTAAATCCTAAAATACACCCAGAGCATCACGTGTGACTGAATGTCAGGTTTCTAAAACTAAAGTGAGCCTCTGTGTGTCTGCTCTGTGTGTATCCCACTCCAATAATTCTGTACAAACCTTCTTTTCCAGTTCAGAATACTTTCTGAATTAGATTGCTGTTAAAACTGTGCCTCTTTGTGACCTTTTCCTTCTTGTCTATTGTGTGTCAGGGGTGTGGGCTGCATATTCTACGAGATGGCTGCCGGCAGGCCCCTGTTCCCTGGCTCCACTGTGGAGGATGAGCTTCACCTCATTTTCAGGCTGTTGGGTCAGTGCTGCCCCCTGCCGACGGGGACTGCTCACATATTTTTTTAAACCCATAATGGCATTAAGCCCAGGCATGTCGCTCCTGTGGCCTTCCAGCTGGTGCAGTAAAGTCTGATCAAATCTCCCTCCACAGGCACCCCTACAGAAGACAACTGGCCTGGAATTTCATCTATCGACGAGTTCAAGTCCTTTAAGTTTCCAAAGTACAAGGCACAGCCCCTGATCAATCACGCTCCAAGGTACAACCCCCCCCCCACAGTTTTTTTCTGTTTCAGTCAGACGCAGCATTACATCAGGTTACTTTGCTCATGTGCGCAGCAGTAAACACTCCCGGCATCATAACACAACTGCCTCTGTCTCTGCTGCTAGCCCACTAATCATTGGAAATGGGAATGAGCAAATATTTCTCGTGCGACCCAGGTATTTAAGAGAGGAGCTTTTAGACCCAGACATTAGTATGACTGGGTTGTTTAGTTAGGAGTGGGTGCTCTCTGTCACTTCCTGCAAGGAAATCCTGTGGAATAGTTGACTGTGTTTGGCTCAGTTTCCTTCCTTACACCCGGCAGCATCTGTGAGTCACCCCACCTTACTGACCCCACTCCCCCCTCCTCTCTCTCTCTCCCCCCACCCCTTTGCAGGCTGGACAACGATGGAATTGACCTGCTGATGTCATTCCTAAAAGTGAGTCGCAGCATATCTGCCAGGAATTGATACGATGTTAAAAGCAGACTGACACATTTTGCTGCTATGTTAAGACCATCATTTTGGAAGGAAGTGCATCTAGGCGCGCCAGCACGTCCACATCCAACCACACGTCGCTGACCCAACTATCTCATTCTTTAACAGCTTTAATTTAGTTCTTTTTTTCCTCCCTTCTCACCGTCAGTATGAATCAAAAAAGAGGATCTCTGCGGATGAAGCAATGAGGCAGTCGTACTTCAGGAGCCTGGGGCCGCGTGTGCACACGCTGCCAGAGAGTGAGTAATAATATTGTGATGCAGCAAAAGCGTCAGTAAGATGCAAACTGAGGGACACTGCAGGCCCAGTTGAGGCCTCATAACAAAGACGGCGCCCTCCGGGTGACTTGTGTTCCACTGACTGACTCCGTCTTCGGCAGGCATATCCATATTCACCCTGAAGGAGGTCCAGCTGCAGAAAGATCCTGGTTACCGGAACTCCTCATACCCTGAATCAGGTGAGGTTTAATGACTCGAGAAGGGGGAGACGCACTATGCGAGGCACAGGGAGTTATAAAGGGCAGGCGCATGCTTCTGTGGGGAGGTTTGGCTACTTAGCAACAAGGTAAGGCTGTTACAGTAGAGCCCACCGTCAATACCCAATAAGCCACAGGACACAAACATATTTATGTATTTAACTCCTACAGGTCCAAACAAAGGTGACCTTTAAAGGCCAGATAAATAAGTTGCAGTTTAAATAGATGCTCAATATGAAAACTACAGCTGTAAAAATGAGGACTAATGCTGAGTCCAGTATGACGCAAGGCCACTAACACCCAGAAGAAATAATTAGCTAAATTTTTTTTTAAAAGAACTTATTTAATTTATGTATTTGATTCATTCAAACGGCGACTTTCTGGCCGTCTTTTCCAGAACAAACAGGATTCTGTACAAATTACGGCATCATAATGATGCGGATATTGAACATTTAGAGCACGATGAGAGAATCTGATTTGGCTGTACTTCTGTGTACTGCCTCAGATTATGGGATCTGTAATCCCAACTAATATTCTGGCCATAACTTTATCTTCCTTATGAGTTTGACTTGAATGCTTTTTTTTTTTCTTTTCTCTTTGTAGGCAACGGAAAGAACAGAAGACAAAGCATGCTGTTTTAGAATTTCTGGACTGGACCTGTTGTTGTTTTGCTTTTGCTTTGGTGGGAAACATCTCCCAGCTGTACAGTCCTGCAGAGAGGTCCCGACCCAAGGACAGGTGTTGGCGGTTGAATATAGCGATCATCACTCCTCCCCCCCCCCCAACTTGTGGGCTAACTTGTCAGTATAACCCTGATCCCTCCCAGGTTTGGACTGAACCAGGCTCAGATGAGACATTTGTATACTGGACATGGATATTTATTGAGAAGAGAATTTGCTGCTAAATTCAACTACTGTCTAGAATTCTAACTGGCTCAGTCACTTTAATGAATACATGCAATGTGTGTAGATTTTTAACTTTTTTTTTTGTTGTTTTCTTTTTTTTGAAGTGATTGTATATTTTTAGTGTTTTTTTTTTTTTTTCTCCTCTCTTTTTTTGGGGGCGTTAATGTTACAGTGGTTACACGTAAAGCTCCATCTCAAAGCTCACGGATAGAGGGACGTCTTTTTTGCAGCTCAAAGAGGGGGTGGGTGTTCTGTCTCTGTTGCCATGGATCTTCCACTCGGCAGCACAACGCGCTCGTGACCATTCACATTTACATTTGAAGGCTGTTTGGAGCCAGCTCTGTTCCAATAAGCGATCACCTTTATCACGATTAGAGGCTGGAAGAGAGGCAGTGCCGGACGGCGCTGTGCCAGACGCCATTCGTCTCAGATGCTGGCATATCATTCCAGGATCATGTGGTCTCGGCCGTGACCAATGAAGAAACGCAGAGAGAAAAGCCAACAGAGAGGGGCATCACAGAGAGAAATTAGGAACTGTTGAGCACACTGAACCACGTCCCCACTGTCGTTCTCTCCACAGTTCCACTATGTTACAAAGAGGCGGCGCAAACGGAGTTCCCCTCACGGCGTTCTCCTGTCCGTCATTCCCACGTCCATCACATGTAAAAGCGGCTCCGTTTCCTCTGGACTGCCTCCATGGTTGCGCTGCCCTCCTGCTCTGTTGTGTGATGAAGCACACAGCCGCTGAACTCCAAATCCAGGAAGCACTAGCTCGAGTCCCGCCCCACGTGAGCCAGTCCCAGTCTGTTTAACAGTGTTATAAGAGGCGTTTTGTATGATGTTCTTTAACTTTATTTGTGAATACTCGTTCCCTGTGTGGGATTTTGTTGCAGACGCCCCTCCTCTATATGATTTTTTTTTTCAGAGTAAAGAAAATTAAATCTAAAGTTTTAACAGAAACCACATGGACTGTTATTTTTCAGTGGAAAAAAAAGAGGAAATGCTGGTTGAGCATTCAATGCTTTTGTTTATTGAAAATGATCTTTTTTTCACAATACAAAAAAACAATTACAGAATACATACTGTATGCCAAGTCCAGTATAAAAACAGAACAGCTATAAAGGCTTTCATTGATTTGAAATCTCGTCTTCGTTAAAGGATTTTGAAATAAAGCAATAAAAATAGGACAAGGCACAGCCGATACTGAGAAGCATAGTAAATACATTACATACATCAGCACAGTAGTGAAACGGAGGGTTTCGCACTGTGGGGAACATTTTTAAGAGAAGAAAATAAGGGATTTTTTTTTCTTTTTTCACAAGAGTAAAAAACAAAGGCCTGCAGAGAGAGAGCCATCCTGTCCCAGTCTGCCCACTGTGGACAGGGGGGGTGTGGAAATGTGCTGTACTTCACCGCGCACGTCTCTCAGACATTGTGGTGTGTGACTTTTACCAAGTGCTTTCAACCACCTGAATCTGAGGCGACTTAAGTGCAAAAAAAAAAACAAATTGAAAAAAAAAATGAGGTCGGATCTCATTTGTAAATCGGAATTTGACACGATGAGTGGTAGCAGCGACTGCTGATGACGGAGAGACGTTCAATGGCAAAGAGGAGTAACCACGGGACTTTGTTGTTTTTGTGTTTTTCTTTTTGCTTCTTTTATACAAAGACCCTGGATCAGGATTTGTGGGTGGTGGGGGACAGGAGCAGAGAGGAGGGTGTTCCTTCCAGGTTTGGCAGAGGGACCGGCATGTGTCCGTTGATTAGGCTGGGGAACTGTGGAGGAAGAGAGAAGGGCTGAGAGTTAGCGGGGTGGCTGCTTTCCGGAGAGGAACTGCAGCATTGTCACTGCTCTGGTTTCCTGTTTTTTTTGTTTAGTTTTTTTTTTTTTTCTCTTTTAAAAATCTAAATCGCTGTTCCTCTTCCTTCTCGTCTTTATCCCGTCTCTCGCCGAGACAACGGCAGGGGAAGGCGGCGTTATTTTTGTACAAAAGAATCCGGTGCGCCCAGCGAGCCTGTGGAGGTGTTGTGTGTTTTTCAGAAGTGAGGAGCAGCTCTCAAACCAGTCCACCCTGTTCAGACTGGCTCCCCTGGGCTCAAACAGGAAGTATTCACAGGATTTCCTCTGCCTCACACACGCACTGAAACAGGACACCTCTGCAGGACCTGCTTACAAAGCCCCGACTAGTCTAACAACCGCTGGGCGTCTGCTCTTTTGCAAATACTAGAAAACGTGAAAGTTTCCTGTCACGTTAATGCCTGCTTTATATTTAAATCTGATGAACCAGAAGCAATAGTCAGACTTCGGTTAACCCATAGGGGGAATATATTTGTAAGCGATCTAAACGTTTTTTTCTTCCATCTCATTATCCTGACAAACACGATTTGTGTAACTATAATATGTAATAATGAGGATTTCACAGCAGCAGATTTCACTCTGCCTGCTTCACAACCGGGACACCTTTGGCAAACAATAACCGTCTTTGAGCAAACGTTGGATTGTCAGAGCTCCCTCCCTCACACCCGTGTGCTCGTCTCACCTGGAAGAGGGAGCTGTGGCCCTGCAGCCGGGCGGGGCTGAGCGGTGCGACGGGGCTCAGGCTGCTCCAGAAGTGGATGCCTGAAAACAGCGGACTGTGGGCCAGCAGCAGGCCCGACGGAGTCTGGAAACGGCCAACAAAGACGGGAGATTTTGTATAAATAAGAGAAAGCAGTGAAGGTAACAACCCCCCACCCCCCAAAAAAAAGAGAAACATAGTAAAGTAAAAGTTGGAGAAAAGTTCTCTGAGGGCTTCAGTAATGCAAAACATGCTGAAATGTTAAATGGATGCGCATTGGCGTTTGGAAAAACAAACTGTCGGAGCAGGAAGGAAGTCTGTGGTTTCTCCTCCAGAATACAGGGGTGATGAGAGGGGAGGGCTGTGGGGGAAGGATGGAGGGCAAGCAAGGCAGAGAGGTAGGCAGCGGTCTTGAAGAGTTTGGAGCAAAGAAAAAAAAAAAAAAAGCTTGAGAGAAAACATATGAAATCAATTTCTTCTCCTCTCCCCCTCCCCCCGACTTTCCCCCTGTGTCACCTCAGAGAAGTGAGCCAGTGCTGCTGTGGAGGGACCCAGCCCCGCTCCCATTATTAATGGAATTATTGGAGCATATGGCATCACTTAGCCCCCCCCCCCCACCCCCCCATGCACCCCCACACGCACACACACACACACCCCTCTCATACGCTGAACTTGCAGAAGATTTCTGTAAATCGCTTGTTTCCCTCTGATCTCGTTGTTTCACACTCATAAACAGACAGTGTGGGAGGACGACCGATGGCCCCCCCCCCCCCCCCCGACGTGTGCGCGGGTCTCTGATGTGGCTGGCCCATTATTAACCGAATAAGATGAGTACTGGTCGATGCTTCTGAATGAGTCTGGGGATGTTCTTTTGTTTTGTTTTGCTGCCATGATCTCAAAATATTGCAGCTCGGTGAATTCTGCTCAAAAATGGAAAGCTGTCCAAAAGTTTGAAAAATGAGTTGAATTTAAATTAATTTGAGATTAAGATCTATTTAAAAAAACATTAACAATTAATTTTTTTAAAATGAATTCAAACAATATGTAAAGATTCTTGAGGAGGTGCCTTCGATTGGTATAAGCTGAGCTCTTGTTTCATACCTCTCTTTGGTGAGAAGTTACTGGCTCAAGTGACTACTAAATAAATATAGCAGTAGTGTTTCCACAAACGCATGCCAAGCTGGCTCAGATGTCTGCTGCTGTCTGAGGGCTTCGGGACTCTGACATCATGCTCTGGACCGATCCCATCGTCCCCCCCCCCCCCGCACGAGCCAGCCCTCCGCTGAAGGCAGACCGGCTTTGATAAGGTTTTCTCGAACGCCGTCTCAGCGATGGCTCCCTTCCAGCTGGGCCGCTTTGTGGCGGCTGCCAGAGAGCTCCGGGATCCCGCTGGTCTCCCATTACCGGCCGAGGAAATAAGAGAGGGCGTGGAAACAAGTTGTGGCAAGACAAGAGACTGAGATGGCTCCCGCTGCTCAGGGCCCAGCGGTGATTAAGAGTCAACACACACATCCCTAAACCGACCCCGGCCAATGGGCTCTGGCCCTGCCCCTAGTTCTGCCCACGCTCTGACCCACTGGTGCACAGACTGGACACTGGTCCAGGGATGTCTCCAGTCTGTGCAGCAGTGCTGCCCGGCGTGTCCGGCCGGACCGCCGGCGGTTTTTTCTTTCGTGGCCCGATTGCGCAAACGTATCTATGTGAGGCTGGAAAGCACCTCCAGAGAGAAAAGAAGCAAAAAAAAAATATATGAAGATGAGTGAGTCAGCAGTTTCCAAAGCTCTAGACCATCTGACTCA